CCCAATACATAATTTGTAACCCTTTTATTATTAGATTTTAAAACCAATTCTCTCACCTATACTATATTTATTTCTACCATTACTATATAAGAGATACCTTAGCTGCAAGGGATCTCACATCTACCTTTAGGAAGAAGACATGAGGAAGAAGTCAGCATTCCACTGCCACTTTCAGCCCCCAAAGCGAGAGATGTTAAAAAGATCTGAACACACGTCTAGTGCCACACCATTTTATTAAACAATACTTTTTTTCCCGTTTATAGAAGAATCATATTAAGTGACGGTTTCTTATTGTCTAATAGCATGTACAGGCATATCAAATCAGTGTACAGGGGAAAATGTGAGCTTGAACTATTTCATACAGTCTGCATCACATCACACTTTGTAGCTCTCATCAGTTGATAAATAGGTGTATAAAACACATCTCCATATCTATACACTTATGTCTCCTCCAACAGATGGTAAGAATATGTACAATAATTTAAAGTATCTATCCATTTCTCTAGGTAGGTTATAGCTAAAAAGGTTTCTAGATAATGAATGGATTAAAGTTAGCAATGCAATTAGAACATGTAAAGTGCTAAGAATTATTGTTTGTTACTTTCCTTTTGTTACTGCCCTTGTTTTTAATGCTGCACTTACAATCAATCCTTCTGAGTTAATAAGAAATGCCCCCTCCTCATTCTCACATGTGGAGAGAACAATTCATTTTTAATTTGCAATAAGCAAACAAGAATTGTGAATTTCTTTCCAAGATCTCTCTCAGCTACCAACATAAGAGACTCTGAGACGCTAGGGATGGAAAAGCCCTGTTGATTATCCAGTCTGTCTCGCTGCCAATGTTGGATTGTTCCCAACAGTACTTTAGCAAATACCTGCAGGTTTCAAAAAGTGCCTTTCAAATAATTCCCAAGAATATATTGTCCTGCATTGCTTGTATGTTCTTTTTTCAGGAAGCAGTGAACAAATGAAATATATTTGACAACAACCTTATCTCACTTATCACAGAACATGAAATGGAGTATCTAGTGCTTGTTCTTGTGCCGTCCAGACGCACATGGTAGGCAATTTTGATATAGTTTACAACAACATGAGCATATGGATAGTACAGCAACAGTAAAGACTGCACAGAATGGTAAGGGATTAAGCACTCAAGGGTGTTCGGCTCTTGAGGTATTCTGAGACACACTAGGGAAAGCCAAATACAGCACCTTGAGTTGTTATATGTTGTGATTAATACATTGCAAATGCAAAATGGGGCTTTTATGCTTGTCAGATGAGGAGCATATGGTTCTTCAAAGAGAATTGGTATGTTTAATGATAAGGTGGCTAACCTCCTTAACAGAAACTAAGCAACCTCAATCAACGAAGCGGGTGGGGTTGGGAACAAAATTTTGGTACTTGGAAAGAATACATTCTTTTTAAAGAGATCATTAAAGATGGCAGGCACAAAATGTGAGCACCATTGTTTTCCCTTATATCTGTTTGGAAAGTCCATGTAATCCTTATATATGTTTATCCCTTCAGAGCAAATGTTTCACCATTCTTCTAAAAAAAAAAAAAATCAATGCCAGTAAAGAACAGAAACAACATAACAAAACAGCATGCACACGACACAGACAAAGAATTCACATAAGAGAACAACCAGCATCTAAAAGCAGTGGTTATAAAACAGCAAAGAGCAGCAAGTCATTAAGAAAAAATAACCCTGAGACAGCCATTTAAACACACTCACAGATCAAACAATTCAAATCCCAGGATATAAAATCCATCACCAGCACTGAACCAAGCAAAAATAAACAGTGAATAGCAGATATGCCTTTGAAGAGGAAATAATTGCAGTGGAGACCTGCTTGCAGAGCAGTCTGAGTTCACTGTAGTGATGGAGGGTGAAAGTCCCTTAGTTCACTGCATCAGAATGCAGATCATGAGCTCAGTCAGAGAATGAAACAAACGCGGGGAGGGTTGCAACACTGCAAAGATACAATGGTTGGTAGATCTGCGTAATGGTGGCTCTATGGGCTTTGCTCCTGCTCCTCTACCATGTTGCTCCGATCTACCCCCAAACCGTACCTCCATGTGGCCTTCCTTAATTCACCTCTTTACGCAATGAAACTACACCAGTTCTGCTGGACATGGGCCTTCCAGAGCCATGGGTGATTGGGTGAAATTTGTCTCTATAGGAGATTTCCATTATTTCCATTATATTTTCTAAGCCGCCTCCTACTAGGATTTATATTTATCTATCACTAAACAAACCTTGTCTTACTATTTCCCACTGTACAGGGTTATTTTGGTCATATGAAATCACAAAGCACTATATGAGAGCCCATGTGCATTACAGACCCATTTTTTAACTCAGATTGTTGAGTCCATCCTATTCAGGTTCTAATAGTGTGCCCATTGCTTTGGTATCGGAGCACCTCCCGAGTTCCATGAAGAGTACTAGTGTCCTTAGGCTAAGTGGGAAAAAAACCCAAACATGGCCCTGGTTTACACTGTACCATTTCTCTCCTCCAGCCACGGCAAAGCAGAGAGGATGCATTCCTTCACACAAGCCAAGCGTCTTATGCTCTAAGGAGCTTGAGCTGAGCCTCACACAGAGGGCTCCTGAATCACTGGTGTCACTCCAGTTTTATACTAGTGTCACATCACTGATTTCAATGCAACTGTAATGTTAGTACTGTGGGTGCACTATTTTTACCAGGATTTTACACAGCAAGGGCCCAATCAAGCAGCCCTCAATGATTTCAGTGCGGTCACTCACACGAGTAAGGGAGGGATGTAGGATTGGGTCCTGAAATACACCCACATGTTTTAAGTATAGAAAATAATGTGTGCACCAAGGGGGATAGTCATTGATGCAAAGTGGGACTTCAGTGGGGCATAAGCCTTGGGTTGGCCTTTGCACAAAACATGCATTTCAACCCTACTTAATAAGGATGTTGTTGTTGTGGTTATTTTTGCATTAAGTATTCTTCTCACATATTCCACACAACTCTCCACCCAACAGAAAAAGCCACAAGTTTAAATAGATTGAACAAACCAGATGCAGACAACCACATATAGACCATCTTCTCCAAAATGCTGTTGCTTTGTTTTTGCTTATTTTGTGGTTGTGATGGTCAGGACTTCTCTGACAGGGACAACTGACCATGTATTCAGTCCTCGGGATTTAATTGTGCATGGCTGCCCTCTTATGATTCCCCAGAACTTGCCTGCTGACAGCCTGGACTCCGTATTGCAGTTTCCTCCCCTTTTATGTGAAAAGAGCAACTTTCCCTCAGGGGTCCAAATTCTTGTGAGTATTGTACATAGGCACAGACCTGAAAACCCTATTCAACAACAGGAACCTGTAGTGGATTCTGGTTTAGGTTACCCAAACCTGCAGAAACACTGCTTTATAAGCCCTCTGCAAAAGCAGCAGTGAAAGGGCATTCCAAGCAGTCTAGGTTTTGCATATAGGTGCATAAAGGGCCTGAATCCAAAGCCCACTGCAGTCAACAGGAGTCTTTTCTTGGAGTTCAGTGAGCTTTGAATCAGACCCATCCAACCCTGATCAAGCAATGGCAGCTATGTACAATCTCCCTTGCAGATTATTCCTGGTCCTATTGGAGATAATCTGGCAGGGCAGTTATGGCAGAACTGTAGGCCAGAACACGGTGCACGGTAACAATATGTTTTGCAATGTATGTTTGTGAGCATTTTACTATTATTCACTATTTGTATTCCCAGTGATGGACCATGGACCTCTCAGTGCTAGGCACTATGCAAACACTGTACAAAGTGGCTGTCTCCACCCCAAACATTTTACCATCCAAGTCAAAGTGTCTATTCATCTCCTCTTGTCCTACTTCAGTCTCTGCTTAAATAGAGTTATAGGATTTGCTTTCTCCATAATGAAGCTCACACTATTTTTGTTTTTTCCTTAGTCACTCCCTTTGTCTAGCATCTTGTTGTAGGTTTGTCTAATTTAGACGGTAAACTCTTCAGGGCACAAAATGAGTCTCTCTTTTAACTCTTGTAAAGGACCATACAAAATTCTTGCACTACAGAAAAGTTTATTTTTAATAAACAGCTCAAAAGTTTGGCTCAACATAGGTATATCCTGAGCCCTTTTCCAGCCTAAACCTATCAAGAATACAGAATATCTTTCCATTGCTGACTGCTAGAGGATGAACACTGTGGAATATAAAGCTCTATAATTTAATCTTCCACACCCTTTTTAGTGACATAAAAAGAACATTATTTTCATAGAAAAAAGGTTTAGTCCAATAATTTTGCTCCATAATTTTTTAAGCTATGAAAAATTGTTTCTTCATATGTCACCAACAGTGGAAAACATCAGGATGGAATGAGAATACAAAACAGCTAGGGGAGAGTTAAGAGGTGAAAGAAACCATTCACAAAGTTTTGTTTCTCCCATGTTATTAGCTAGGCAAAAGGAAAACCACACAGTGTTAGTACAGCGAACACCCATCTCAGCCGTTCATACCCTCAGAGTCACAAAGGCTGGTGTACCAGCGACAGAGCGCAGAGATGGGGAGTATGCAGGGTTTATGGAATCATAAAAGAGGAATTTTTCAGCTGAATTAACAGTCATGTGATAGATGTGCTCGAAGTTGCTCGGAGAGGAGATCAGACTGAAGTGATGAGGGGATGGATATGGAAAACACAGCTATCAAAGACAACAGAGAGAAAAAGATAATGAGGGACCGTTTCACTGGTTATACAGGAGGCGAAATTACTGACAAACACCATCTGCAGGGATAAGCATAATTTGAAAGACTGGATCAAATTCACTGTAAGTATCCTGCTTGCAAGAAAATAGACAGATCCTTAGATTACCCTCCCCACCCCCTTATCCTCTTCTTTACATTGTATCCCATGTCCCTGTGACCCTTACTACTGCCATAAACTTTAAACAAATCAAACTTGTAACTCATTGGGAATGGATTCTAATATTTATTATTATTTAATACTTCAAACAGCACCATAGATGTGCCTGGTGCTTTACAGACAAAGGAAAAGCATCAGATCCCTGCCTTGAGGAGCTTACAATCTAAGTTAGACATAACACAAACAAGGGAAAGTGAACCAAGATGAAATGGTAAGGGAGGGAACATTTGGGGGTACGACAATGAAAAAGCTTAAGACCTGCTTCTTGTTATGCAGACATTTTGAGGATTTCATTTAAAAAAACCAGTCAACATAAGGATATATTATATTTATAGTTTCAGGGAACAAAGTGTGTCAGCAGGGCAGGAATGGAGGTGAGCATGGGAAGGGGAACTGGTTAGTTTCAGGCTAGTGGGGTGAAATTTACCCAGTGTAGAAGGACAAGGCAAAGTCTATGCATCAGTAAAGCCCCAAATAAGACCTAGAGGACTTTAGGTCTTGTACTGTCTCTCTATGCAGCAGTGAATTACACCCTCAGTGCATGAGGCAGAAAGATACTCAGAAATGCAAGTATTTTTATAGGTCAACTCAGCATTGTTGGGTGCTTTGTTCCCAAAATGTAAAATATAGACAAAGGAAAAAAGTGAATTAAATCTGCAAATTAGACAAAACCAATTTCTATTTAGTCTCCAAAGAATGTGCTGATACAGGAGCTTTTGCGATGCGAAGACTCTATATCCTGGAGATGTATTTTTAACTCTCATTTTCCCTCCATCTACAGAATCATTCCATATGTGCATATTCAGCAGGTCAATCTGCTTTGGGCTGGAATGGCCAATAGCCACTGGCAAACTAGACCAGTTTTTCCTAATCTTCAGCCCTTTCTCTTTCCCTTGTCGAACTGATCTCACCAACTTTTGAAAAAAAGAACCTGAGCAATGTTAGGATTTAAAAAATAAAATACGATGCAAGATAGCTGCAAATCAATCAGGTGACTTGTCTGCTAAACCTAAGGCACTACATTTTACCCAAGGAATTTATGGAAGTTTAGGAAAACATTAAGTGATAGCCCAATATATATTATCTCCAGTATCAAACAATAGTTATTACTGTTCTCTACTGTTCCCTTAATCTGAGCTGGTAAGATCCCAACAATTTGCTTTTTTACATTTTTGTGTTGTGAAGCATTGCACGTCAATAAAGCATCAATTACTGATTTACAGCATTTGGTGTATAATGTATACTAATTGCTATTAATACGGTTAGCAGAATCTAGGATATTAGTACTATCATCAGTGTAAGGGAAGCCACTTTTCTGATAATGGTCCCAAGTGGAAAGCAGAGGTTGCTGAGCAATCTGTATAGAATAGTGTGCTTGCTGCAGAATGAAGGTATGTTTTAAAAGCCAATAAGGAAGGGAAAAAAGTCCTAATACCAGAAGCTTGGAAGCAGACGGCAGGCCCACAGCAGACCATAAAAATGTTAAGCCAGCATGCATTAATGTGCAAATGCCAGGATATAGCAGCACTTCTGAAAACCAATCCTCCCTCCAAGGATCATAGTATGTCTTCAAATGCAGGGTTCCCACTGGCTTTACGTAATACTAAAAGTACATAATAATAATTACTCCAAATGCCTCTGCATGTAAAATTCTACGTGTTTCAGTAAATCTGGTTGGTTACTGAAATATAATGAATTATGCATCATGAAGTCAGATTTAAGTATAATGAATACAAATTCAAATATAATGGCTGTCAAGAATAGTCCTGTACGGAAAATATCAGGCATGCAGAGTATGAATGTAAAATCAGTCCTGCATATCCGATGGACACAGGTAGTTGGTATGTGCTGCAGTAAGTATAATTCCAGAATTCGGATCTTCACTATAAGGGAGCATCCATGATAAAGTGGCTTCAAGAATCAAGAGGGCAGAAGGGAGGCCAGAAAATGTACTGAATTGCCAGGACAAAAGTTCACGTGATTTTAATTGGTGACAGGCTGCTAGGGGAAAAAAGTGTAAATACATAAGTCTGGGGATACTAACAGGAATGATTCTAAATTACACAAATCAAGACAGTGATCCAGAACTAAGTGCATATAACATATATAATTACAGCTCTGTTAGTGGCAGATAAGAACTTTTGTTCTTTTAAGGAAGTGAACCCACTTACTACAAAGAGACTCAAACCAACCATTAAAATATAATGGAAGTATAGTTGTTAAAAACTTCACAGTTTTCATTGCCTTTTGTATTTTCACCATCACGGCCCCAATCCTACACCGCGCTCTGTGCAGACAGATCCTGTCCGGAGCCCCACTGGGTACGTCTACACTGCAGCTGGCAGCGAATCTTCCAGCTTGGGCAGACAGACTCACACTAAAAATAGGAGTGTGGATGTTCTGGCTTAGGCTGGAACTCAGGCTCTGAAGCCTAGAGGACTGGGTGGGCTAGAGAGCGTAAGTTTCTGCTCAAGCTGGAATGTCCACACTGCTAATTTTAACATGCTAGTGCAGGCCCTGAAGTGCGAGTCTGTCGACCTATATGGAGACTTGCTCCCAGCTGCAGTGCAGACATACCCATTGAGATCAATGGGGCTATGTGCAGATGCATGGGTAAATCCACAGCGAGTACAGTGTAGCATTGTGTTAAAAGGCAGCAATTTACTCCAATCACATCCAACAGTTTGATTTACTCCTTAAACAGTCAACTTTTCAAAAACAGATGCCTGAACTATGCTCACAAAGTACATATAAGCACCCTCAAACCTGGAAACTGCACACACAAAGCAATGACGTCTTTATGAACATATTGTTACAGGCAAATTCAAAAATACATGCTGTGCAGTTCTATGTCCATGTGCTGGAATCTATTTTGAAGAATGTGTCCCATAGTTTGGAACAGCTAAAAACTCTCCATTTTACTAATTCTTATTTTATAACTTCAAGGTTTTGAAATTAAAATCTTAAAATTGTAATTCAATTTTAAATTAGTGCTGTACAAGACATATTTACAGACAGTCCCTGCTCAGAGAAGTTTGTACTCCAAAAGGAAGACACAGATAAGACACTTAGAAGAGGGATTAGTGTACAAAATTAAGCCTGTTTTCTCCTTTTCCTCCCTGCCCCTCAATTTTTTAAAAGTGCATTTTATTGCTCATGAAAAAACGGGTACAGCATGGGCATAGACAGTACAGGATTTCCTCACACACTGCCGTGCCAATGTACCTCAGCCTGGATCTGGAGGATCAACTTTAGGAGTTTAAGCTCTATAGTTCATCCAGTCTTTGGCTTTGCCCCTGAGAATTTCAGTTAGTGCCAACTGTGATAGTGGATGTGTTCGTTGTAGGGACAGTTCTCCACTAGAAACTCAACCCATTTGACAACGGTCATCAAGGAGATGTTAGACAACAGTTATTTTACATTACTACCATCTTGAGCTAGATACAAACTGTAGAGCCAGAGATAAAAGTCTCCATATCTCACAATCAAACCCCTCTCATCAATCCTATGATTAAATATCTATCCTGCATCAGGAGCTACTGGCAAGGACCCTTCTGTTTGTGCAGCATCCCATTGACTTCAATGAAATCTCATACTGGGTGTATGGGTCCGTGCTAGCAGCTCCTCATGTAGGACTGGGGTAGCTAAGGATTCACTCACATGAATAAGGGTGGAAAATTGAGCCCTTTTTTTCTTCTTCGTATTTTCAGCTTTTGTTTTTTAACATTTTTGCATTATAACATTTAAAGGACGCATTGTTTACTTTAAATATAAAACTGTACAAATGCAATTCTTTGACTTTTCTCAAATAAAAAGAAAAATTAGAGCTGAAAAATAGTCTGACAAATGCATTTTAGATGTGACATGATTAACCTGCACAGTTTGCACCCCCGAGTGGCAGAAACCTAGAAATGTAAAAAGTATTGAGCTTGTCCTTGTCTAGTTCTGCTTTAAAAAGGAGTTCAAAAAATAAAATGTTCCAATCTTTTCCAAATTTCTTGGAAATAATTTTCATGAACACTTTATTTTCTAAGGCAGAAAATGTAATCTGCGCACCATGAATAAAAAAATCCCAAATCAGAATTATTACGTAGTCAGATGTACACCGCTATTTAAATGTTCATAACAAGCCGCGAGCTTGTGAAATAATTTCAAAGGCATTTATTTCCTTTCCTTCAAAGAGGAACTGTCATACAGGAAAAGCACAGAGATGTATCAGACTAACACTCCCTTTCTCTTTATTTTTGTACCTCGTGTTCTAGTCCTTAAAAGTATTCTGTGTTTAGATAATGGCTTGCCCACTCCCAGCCCATCTTCTATTCCCAACTGATCCTTGAGTGAAGTCATCATAAATTACATTTGATTTGTAACATCACATTCAGTTGTATGGTAACAGAGTGTAATGCCAGAAACATGGTATTTGGACTTCAGTGCAGCAGGGGAAACAGCTGCCTGGAGAAGAATCCTTATCCAGGTACAAATTCTGAAATTATGCAAAGGGAGTGCAGAGAATTACTGTCTAGATTTAAATTGCTCTTACTACAGATGTCCCTTTTTGCTTCAGTGTGAACAAAATAGACTAATAAAGGTCTGTCTAGTCCAGTACCATGTCTCTCTCAAGAGGAAGCTGTAAAAGAACCCCACATAGCATTTCTTAGGGGAAATTTTCTTCCTGACCCCAGGTGATTAACATGGTGATTGACATAACTCTTGTCATTTTTATCCTAAGTCGTGTAGCACTGCAGGCACAACTGTAATAACAAATGTGAAATCCAGTTTAACCTCAGTAATATATCCTAACATTGAGGTCCATATGTTAACTTATAGCAGTGAGTTCTTAAGGCTAACTTCAGTACTAAACTGCAGTAGTGAAGAAGTCCTACACTGTATATAAATTTAATGTCCTTTAATCCACTCTAAGTGCAAAGTGGAAATCACACATTTTCTCCAAAATTTCATATTCCCAGGTGAGAATTAGAAAACGCATCCTACCTCTAAATATGAGACCATTTAATTAAAATAAAGCCTGTTTAATCAGAATGAGTTTAGAGCTAAAAGTCTTTTAGAACTGGGGACACTGAGGAAAAACAATGGCACTTCTAAAATGTTAACACTGGATTAATGTATTTTGATAAACTAGCTCAGAAAGGGACACTTCACACTTCCACTCAGTTCAGTTTTGCTCCTAGGAGTGGAGCTAGGTTAACAGTCTTTGCAACTATTGGCTCCCATACACTCCCTTCCACTGAGGGTGACTAAGAGTATTGCTTTTTGACCCACCTCCAGGAGAAGCAGATATTCCTTCCTCTAGGAAAGTCATGCTTTTTTAAAAGTTCCAGCTGAAAGTGGAGAGGTCAAAAGAAACGGTCTCCCATGTATAGCTTTAACCCTAAACCCTTCACCTCCAAAAATTATTACCTTCTTTTAAAGTAACTGAAGTTGGGATCCAAAACCAGCCCTTTTCCAGCAGTTCTTTATTAGTGAGGGCTAGTCTACACTTACCGGTTAGTTCGACAGCTGCGGATCGAAGTTCCGAGTTCGATTTATCGCGTCTGGTCTGGACGCGATAAATCGAACCAGGAAGTGATCCCCGTCGACTGCGGTACTCCAGCTCAGCGAGAGGAGTACCGCAAAGTCGACGGGGAGCCTGCCTGCCGCGTGTGGACCGCGTCTGAACCGCGGTAAGGTCGAAGTAAGGTATGTCGAATTCAGCTACGTTATTCACGTAGCTGAATTTGCGTACCTTACTTCGATTTGGGGGGTAAGTGTAGACCAGCCCTGAGATAAACACTGGCTGTTTGCCAAGTTCTCATAGATCTGCCTCAGGCACTTCACTACCTGTCTTGTTCTTATTTGACTAATACACCTCTACCTCGATATAACGCTGTCCTCGGGATCCAAAAAATCTTACTGCGTTATAGGTGAAACCACATTATATCGAACTTGATTTGATCCGCCGGAGCGCGCAGCCCCCCCTCCTCCCCCGGAGCACTGCTTTTCTGCGTTATATCTGAATTAGTGTTATATGGGTCACGTTATATTGGGGTAGAGGTGTAATTACCTTTTTGTTGTTTATTGCCTATTCTCACTACACATGCTGTCAATACCATGATTCTCAGAGTGCTCCATTAATGGTTAGAGAGTGTTCATTCTCTGCACATATACTTTCCTCAGGTGATGACCAGATACTGCCAAAGTAGTTAATGTTCAATAGGCAGGGCTTTATGATAATGTGCAATGTCAAAGTACCATCAGCTGCAAAACTGAGGTAAAACAAACATTCTGAGGTCAGAAATTATGCCCCAAACCCTAAGTAGTGCAATACCATTGCACACATCCTTTTTCTGCCTTACCATCATCCTCTCCACTTTTTCTCAAGGACCAGTAACAGTTGCAAACATTTTCTGCTGCCTTCTGCCCATAAACTTTAGTTAAGAGAGATGATCATGCCCATTGTATTTATGATAAATGCCTACAAGTTACATGAACAAATCCTTATTCAGGCCACAGCCCCTCAAAACTCATTCACTTCAGTGGGTGTTTAATTATTAAGAGGCTCTGTTTCAGTGATGCAAGCAGACACAGCAGCCTGGCTAGAGACAGTGGAAAATGGGAACTTCAGCATGGATGAAACCTGGGCCCAAAACACAGTAGAACTGATATGGCTCCACTATACAAGGGGAGCAGGCTGCAGAGAGACCAAGCAGGGGGCTCTACATATGGCAATGAAACATTGGAGTTAGGAGAAAGATTCACTGGCCATTCTATGCATGAGTCAAAACCAGGCACCACAGATGCTACCGCTGTTCCGAGACTGTAGGAGCAGTGCCAAAGCTGCTGCGTGGCCTTTGGCGGGGAACCCATCTCTCCTTATTTCCACAGAGAACCCAAGTCCAAACCCTATTAATTTGGACTGTGAGCAGGGGTTGTTGCTTTCCCCTCATAATGTGTGCTATATGAACAGCTCATTTGAGTGACTGGGCATAAATTAATGGCGGCTCTTGACTTTCTTGACAGGTGAGGCACAAACGACAAAATCATTATTTCCACCTGTAGCGATGCGACGACTCACCGGTGGCGCCTCTTGCTGGTTATCCTGGGAATTAGCTCCCTTTCCAGCTCCAGAGCGCCCTCTGCAGGCCGGTGTCCTGCCTTTTGCTGGTCCCGAGTCCCTCCTGGACCCCAGTGCCCCTTTCAGGCCGGGGTGCTGCCCCCTGGCAGTACCCCCACAAATCTGGGTCTCCCTTCCCCAGGGAACCCCCACCCTCTATCCTCACCTCGCTTCAGTCTATGGCCACTGCCAGTCCTCAACTAGCCCCCGTTCCCTGGGGCAGACTGCAGTGTAAGTGCCACTCATCACCGGCAAGGGGTTTTTTGGACCTGCTGCCTCTGCAACCCCAGTACCTTCTTTGGCCTTTAACAAGGCCTGCAGCCTGGGGGGTTTCTAGGCCGGAGCTCCCCAGCTCCTTGGGCCTTCCCCCAGCCCTGCTCCAGTTTAGGTACCCTGCTCAGCACGCAGCAGCCATGCCCATCCCTCGTAACAACTAGAGAGAGAGAGACTGTCTGTGGCTTCTGGCCCCGCCCCTCTTATAAGGGCCAGCTGGGCCCTCATTAAACTAGCTTTGGCCTGATTGGGGCATGGCCCCCAGCTGAGGCTGCTTTCACCAATCAGCCCCGCTTTTCCTTCCCTGCCACAGCCCTCTCCCTGGGCTGTTTTAAGCCTTTTAAGGCAGGAGCGGGTGACCACCCCGCTACACCACCTCTGCCTAATGTAATAGCTATTGAAAGCTTACCTTATTTATAGTGAAGAAGCAACAGGTGGACCCAGGGGCTGGAGCCCGTGCTACGTAGGCTGGAGCAGGGGGTGGAGCATGAAGCAGGCCTGGGACACAGCATCGGCTACTTGTGCATATGCATGAGCCCCACCAAAAGGGGGAGGGAGCTGGGGAGGTGCAGGGCACAGGCCCCATCCCTACCTACTCCCTACAAACCCTCAGCAGCCCAGCCTTAACTGTATCACCTCACCAAGCTGTGGTTACCACAGCAATGCCTTCATAAAGTGACTCCTGGGCATGGTAAGTTGCTACGGTAACAAGGCAGCTTCTTGAGGCACAATTAGCTATACCAAGACTTGAGCCTCATGCAGCACTTTCTTCAAACTTTCTGGTGTTGCATTTCACTACTGGAGAGAGTGAGTCGTGACATTTAAATCAAATCACAATTTGTTCTTAAAACTGCATATGTTTATCAATTACATAAAAAAGAATATGGAAAATGTATTTTGTAGCTTTTGGGAATTCTTGTTTAGGCTGAGCCTCACCTGTATGGGCTGACGAACTGGCCCTAGTATAAACTCGAGAGCCACCAATGAGCTGCCTCTCCAGTATGTAATTGCACACATTCATGCTTAAGCTCTATGAATGTCATTTTAAATTCCACCTTGGACAGTACAGACTCTTTATATCCATTTTCACTAGTTATGTTGCTGCTTGTATGAAAGATGGTAACATTTTAAATATATATTTAACACTAACCAAATTTTAATATCTGTTTTATATGCAATCGCAGATATATTCATTTATTCATATATTCTCTCCCACTTGCTTACCATAGGCAGGTCTTTGAGGATCTGTATTCCATCTCCTGGACCCATGTGTGCTATGTGGTTAAAATTAGTTGGATTAGAAATTAATTTATTTCTCATTTCTGGATCTCGTAGCATCTCCCTGTAAGAGAAAATACTTAGTTTAGATATTTTATACATGACAAAGATGGATATTAAAAAGATCAAATAAATATAGTTTCATTATTTGTTACTTTAAAATAGAAATTGGTAAATTAAATATTTGGCCATGTTAAACAGAAGGATAACCCCTGCTGATCTATCCCAGCCCCCAGCCTGGGGAAAAGGGAAAGGGGGCAGGAAGAAAGGAATGTTGTTTTGCAGGCTAACAGCCCACACCCATGAGAATCAAAATAGTTACTGAGATTCAGAGACTGCACAACCAGTGTGAGCTGAGACAGTACTCAAGAAAAGATGCAGAAGCGGGCTCATTGGTGACTTGGTGCTGCAAAGATGGAGGCAGAGATGAAGGACAGAAGATAAAAGAAGAATTAGAAGAATACTGCACTACCTTTCACATTCTATGGTCAGAATTACTTTAAGAGCTCTCCAAAAATGGCACAGATGCATTCATTTCAGAATTCAAAATAATTTTTTAAATACAAGATAGAACCCCAAGCAACTTGGAAAAGATAAAGACAAGAACTATGCTTTTTAGCACCACCGCACAACTGTTGTTCCTTTTCTTAGAGCCGAATAGGAAGCAAAGTGGAAAGTCAACCATGTTTTCCAGTGGAAAAGTTGGTAGCGAACAAAAACATTTATTTCTTCAGATGTGTTTTAACTCAGTTGCTGGCAATCTTTTGTGGGCAAAAGGAACTCAGGTGGCTGAAGTGGTCAGTAACATGAAAGTTAGGTTTGATGTGAACTCTAAAGATACTTCTGGACTATTTTGATTGACAGTCCTTTAAAGACATATATACTTCATATACATGTCTTGAAGCACCACCCTCCAGGTGACTTCTCTGTGATTTAGAGCATGCTTATGACAGTTCCATAAGACTCATCAGTTAAGTAATACATTCTAAAAAACAGATGCCTTGGTATACTGTTGAGGATGAGATGGTATTGCCCTAAACAATAAAAAGCAGAACCAGAGTCTGAAAGTAATTAATCCATATGCATAGTTAGCAATGTAATCTCCTTTTGTAAAATGTTTATTATAGATCTTTATATATACAGTATATGCACACACACACATATATATGTATATACAGTATGTGGGGGCATGCATTCCAAATTACAGTAACTGTTTCACACAAATATTTTATTAAAAAAGGAATCAAAGTACTGAAATATTCAGTGCATATTCATATCCAGACTAGTATTAATACAAATTATACATCAAGGATAAACACAATGGTGAAAAGACAAATGTCTGAAAACAACTCTCTCTAACAAATGAAATACTACACTGACATCAGACAGACATTCCTTCAGGGCCTACAGGCATGTACAGAAGACAAGTACAGGTTGAATACCGACCTCCTCTGCTGCATTCTCTCCTCCTCTGGTACTCTGAATGAATAACGACGTTTATTGTTGATGTTTCGAACCATTTGCTTCCGGCTGTTATCTGATGTCTCAGGAACTACCAGTTCATCTCCCTCTAGAAACAACATCAAAAATATCCAAGAGATTGCTTACTTGGTAATTTAATAAACCATTTAGAACAAATAATTTTATTTAGCTTTTGTACCTAAATCATCTGACAGCTGCCCTGTAAGAGAGCATAAAAAGCTGGAGGGTGTGTTCAGAAGCCCAAATAGGAAAACAGGAAGGTCATGAATAAATTAAAAAATCCTCAATGGTGGATCAAAATATATTGGCTCTCGGGACACTCGGTCAACTCTAGAGTCACACTGGAGGATTCACCCCAGAAGTCACATCCTCTCAGGAAAAAACAGAATGCAAGTTATGTCTGAGCAACCAGAAATACTATGAACAGAACAACAAAGCTTTTAAAAACGTAGTTTAATCAGTAATGGCCTGATTCTGCAACATTTACAACTGAACAGTCCCACTGCAGTCTCAATGCTAAATATAACTTCACTTTTCCCCCACAAACAGAATACACAGCATGTTTAACCCATGCATGTATATACGCTGAATATTTTCTAATATTGATGAGGTTGCAATTAAATTTGTGCATTCTAGTGCGAGGGAGATCAACGTGTCATGAGTAGTGTGTTTCCTTAACAGTTGGAGGCAGAAGGAAGTTCCTTGTGAAAATATGGAGTCTGTCATTGCCAGTAGAAATGTGCTGTGTGGACAACACGGTACAGTACAGAAAGGAGTGTCCCATGGCTTCATATTTCCTTGCTTTAAGAGTTTGGGGGCAATACAAACTGAAATCCTTTAAAAAGTAGTTTTTGTTTATGGAATAACACTAAACAAGTCAAACAGATTTATTTGGGCATAAGCTTTCGTGGGTAAAAACCTCACGGTTTTTACCCACGAAAGCTTATGCCCAAATAAATCTGTTAGTCTTTAAGGTGCGACCAGACTCCTTGTTGTTTTTGTAGATACAGACTAACACGGCTACCCCCTGATACTAAACAAGTCAGTTTCACATCACCTTGTCCTTCCTTCAGGTTCCCCATTTCTTGGTTGTTTCATGTACCGGTCTTTCCTCATATGCTAATTTTTAAGGTCTTTAGGACAGGAACTGCCTTTATTACACATGTACCCTGTCTAGCACAGTGGGCCTTGATCGGGGCTTCTAGGTGCAACAGCAATGCAAATATTGATCAATAATTAAAATAACAACTGGGTAGAAATAGAAAGAAATTGCCTATTACCATAATCATTGGGGAAAAGTCTCCTATTCAGACTACCCAAAATATTTCTTTGTTTCAAACCCTCTTATACTGAATACCCTAAATGTATGGAGAAAATCTATTGTATTACTCAATTTCAATGCCTCTCTCACCTCATTTCTTGGCAAGTTCAGATAACTCCCATTTCCTACCAAGGATAAATAAAACTTCTTTGGATTTATGGGGTATGTCATATGATAACAAGCTCTTCTCAATTTCACAGTAGAGCTGCAAATACGCTCCATTCTCAAAATACCTTTCTATCAATTCTTTCAAATAAGGCACTGTATTTATATGACAAAGAAAAGTCAATGTCCTTGAAAATCTACAAAATATAGAATTTATTTTCTCCACACCAACAAAATCCACAAGGTTTCATCATACAACTTTATAGCAAAGAAGGCTAGAACAGCTCAAAAACATTCAGAAGGCCAGAGAAAGGACCTCAGGCCTCACACACTAACTTTCTTTAGCAGACCTTGCTTAAAATCGCTAGAACATCATACTTCTGCCAAACATCTGGAAACTCAATGCAAGCTGCTTCTTCATTCATATCTTACTCCAAAGACACTATTTCTTATGAAACACTCCAATTCTGATATCTTTTGTCACAACTGTGGGAAAGGGGGAGATCTCCCCACCCCATGTACTGGTCATGCCTAGTCATCTCCAAGTAGAGATTCATAGGTTCATAGATTTTCAGGTCAGAAGGGACCATCATGATTATCTAGTCTGACCTCCTGCGCATTGCAGGCCACAGAACCTTGCCCACCCACTCCTGTAATAGACCCATAACCTGTGGCTGAGTTACTGAAGTCCTCAAAGCAAAGACTTCAAGTTACAGAGAATCCATCATTTACACTAGTTTAAACCTGCAAGTGACCCGTGACCCATACTGCAGAGGAAGACAAAAACCTCCCAGAGTCTCTGCCAATCTGACCTGGGAGAAAATTCCTTCCTGACCCCAAATATGGTGATCAGGTGGACCATGAGCATGTGGGTAAAACCCACCAGCCAGACACCTGGGAAACCCTTCCCATCTAGTGTCCCATCACTGACCATTAGAGATATTTGTTGCTAGCAGTGGCAGATTGGCTACATGCCATTGTGGGCAGTCCCATCATACCATCCCCTCCATAAACGTATCAAGCTCAGTCTTGAAGCCAGTTAGGTTTCCCCCCCCCCCCCCCCCCCCCCTGGAAGGCCGGTCCAAAAACTTACTCCTCTGATTGTGGAAACCTTCATCTAATATCAAGCCCAAACTTGTTGATGGCCAGTTTATACCATTTGTTCTTGTGTCCACATTGGCGCTTACCTTAAATAACCCCTCTCCCTCCCTGGTATTTATCTCTCTGATGTATTTATAGAGAACAATTATATCTCCACTCAGCCTTCTTTTCGTTAGGCTAAACAAGCCAAGTTCTTTGAGTCTCCTCTCATAAGGCAGGTTTTCCATTCCTTGGACGATCCTAGTAGCCCTTCTCTGCACCTGACCAGTTTGAATTATTCTTTCTTAAACGTGGGAGACCAGAATTGCCCACAGTATTCCAGATGAGGTCTTACCAGTGCCTTGTATAATGGTACTAACTCTTCCCTATCTCTACTGGAAACACTTTGCCTGATGCATCCCCAGTCTGCATTAGCCTTTTTCACAGCTGTATCACACTGGTGGCTCATAATCATCCTGTGATGAACAAATACACCCAGGTCTTTCTCCTCCTCTGTCACTTTCTTCTGATAATTCCTAGTTTATAGTAAAAATTCTTGTTGTTAGTCCCTCAGTTAGTCTCCTTACACTTTGCACTATTAATTTCATCCCATTTCTATTACTCCAGTATTCAAGGTCATCTAGATCTCTTGTACGATATTCTGGTCCTCCTCAGCATTGGCAGTACCGCCCAACTTTGTGTCATCTGCAAATTTTATTAGCACACTCTCACTTTTTGTGCCAACGTCAGTAATAAAAATGTTAAATAAGATTGGTCCCAAAACCGATCCCTGAGGAACTCCATCAGTAAGCTCCCTCCAACCTGACAGTTCACCTTTCAATATGACCCACTGTAGTCTCCCTTTTAACCAGCTCCTTTATCCACATTTCAATTCTCATATTAATCCCCATCTTCTCCAATTTAACTCTTAATTTCCCAAGTGGAACTGTATCAGATGCTTTACTGAAATCGACGTAGATTAGATCTACTGCATTTCCTTTGTCTAAAAAATCAGTTATGTCAAAGAAAGAGATCAGGTTTTTCTGGCACAATCTATCTTTTGTAAAACCATGTTGTACTTTATCCCAGTTACCATTTACCTCTATGTCCTTAACTACTTTCTCTTTCAAAATTTGTTCCAAGACTTTGCATACAATTGAGGTCAAGCTAACAGGCCTGTAGTTTCCTGCATCACTTTTTCCCCTTTCTTAAACATAGGTACTATATTAGCAATTCTCCAGTCATAGGGTATGACCCCTGAGTTTACAGAGTTATTAAATATCCTTGGTCTTGGGCTTGCAATTTTATGTGCCAGTTCCCTTAATATTCTTGGATAGAAATTATCCAGCCCCTCCCACCCCCCGATTTAGTCCCATTAAGATGTTTAGTTTGACTTCCACCTCGGATGTGCTAATTTCTACTTCCATATTCTTGTTCCCATTAGCCACCCTGCCACTACCCATAAGCTCTTCATTACCCTTATTAAAAATCAAGGCAAAGTATTTGTTTAGGTGTTGGGCCATACCTAGATTATCTTTAATCTGCACCCCATCCTCAGTACTTAGCAGTTCCACTTCTTTCCTTGTTTTCTTTTTATATATATTGCTATAGAACCTTTTACTGTTGGTTTTAATTTCCTTTGCAAGGTCCAACTCTATTTGGCTTTTGGCAGCTCTCACTTTATCCCTATACTTTCTGACCTCCAAGAGGTAGCTTTCCTTGCTGATCCCTCCCATCCTCCATTCCTGGTAGGCTTTCTGCTTTCTCTTAATAACCTGTTTGAGATGCTTGCTCATCCAGCTTGGTCTGCAATCCTTCCCTATGAATTTTTCCCCTTGCTTGGAATGCAGGCTTCAGATAGCTTCTGCAACTTTGACTTAAAGTAACTCCAAGCCTCCTCCACCTTAAGATCCTTGAGTTCTTCAGTCCAGTCCATTTACATTAATTTTGTAAGGTTTGCCCTTTGAAATTAAGGACCCTCGTTGCAGGTCTATTTTTTGTTTATCCTTCCATTTAAACAGAATATGATCACTAAAACCAAGGTTGTTTCCTACAATCAACTCTTTGGGATTAGATCTTTAGCAATGTTAACCCAATAACAGGAACCTCACTTTCAAACAAAGCTAAAACTGCTTTTTTGGTTTTGAATGTATGGAGCCTACAGACACGTACTATGCATGAATTCATCCAACACCACTGCGCACTGCCATACTAGGTTTTGCATGTAACTTTGCATATAACTCCTTCTTTCCTGAAGATTAATGGCTGGTTTTATAAAGCCTGGTCTATACTAGTAATGAAAAAAATTACAAAACTTAAAGGAGATAAACTTGCAGAATACATGCTGCTTGGCAGCCTTTTTTGGAATACGCTGAGGTGTGTAGAGGAGCAAAAAACCTGTTTTGCTCACTTCTCTATGGGGTAGTTTAGCTCCTTATCTAATTCCCAACCCTCATTTAGATCTGCAGATTCTCTGTACATACTCTCACGTATTGTTCCTCTCTACCACTTCTATCCCACTTAGAGTAATTTGCTTGCCAATAACTGGATCTCAATAGATACTTAACTCTCTCTCTAGATAATTATATTACTGTTAGTTTAAACTTTTAGAGGCCACTGGTGGCTTTTTGGGTGTACAGTTATAAACTTACATACCATTGCAATCATTCTGTTTATTCCGCCTCTTGTGCATTTATATTTTTATACTCACAACAGTAAAATTATTTACTTAAACTAGTTACTCTCTTTTCTCTCCATGGATCCATTTGATATATTTAACTGTAAAATCTGATTATGATGCTATTGTAACTATTGTTACTATTAATGTAGCATTTGTCACATTCTATTAATGTTCCAATAAGAAGAAAATTAGAAAAAATCCTCACACACCAACAGTAAAAGTACTTTAAAGTAAAAATAACAACAAAAAATGTGTCTGAAACTTATATTTTAGCTGATCATTTTTACTGAAGAAAGAAACACAAAAACATCTCATAGCAACGTGCTATAAAGAAGCATAAGACATTGTCAATATTTCAAAGCCAACTCTTTGGCACACAAATGCAGATGGCCTTTGTCAGTATGTTATGAAGAATGGTTCTGCACTGCTTTCTGACACTAATAGGTTCTGAGTCGCAGGGTACTGTTTTTGGGGTGGAGGTTGGATATGTGTAAAAATGATTTTAAGCCAGAATTAGAGAGAACCTTGTGGAAGCCTAAATTTTCCCTATTGTATTTTTAGAAATCATTTTTTGGAGGGAATGGATTTTGGATTTTAACAGTTTTTTAGTTGCTCTAATCCTCTTACTTTATCACCAATAAATTAAAGACCATAGCTAGGATCGTGGCATTGTGATCTAAACACACCAATATAGAAGAACCAAATTTTGAGGTAAAAACGTAATCATGGATTTTCCAAATATTTAAGGTGATAAACCTGGTCTTTTGGTGGGCTCTAACCTCTATTTTCTAATCTCTTTAAAGTTAAGTTAAAAAAAAATCATACTCTTCATTGCAAGTTTGAAAAGAGAAAAGGTTCAACCTAACTAAAGTAGGCTTTTATACCTCTCCAAATCATTGTGGTGTCTCAGTGCCTGGTTTGCTTCCAAGTCAATAAATACAGATGGGTTTGAAATATAATAATCCACAACTCAAATATCCAGGTCACACTTGCAAGGTGCTATTTCAAAAGAAGCAATAGCAGTAGTAAAATCTGCTCTCTCTTACTTACCTGCCATCTTATTTTTGAAATATATTAATCTAATTGTCTCCAGTCCTAAAAGGTTTAGTGATCCTTCTGTATTCAATGGTCGTACCTGAAACAATTGAAAACAAATATCTTAATAATAAATCATATTTATATAGTGCCTCTCATCTTGAAAGATCCCATAGAGCATTACAAACTGTATAAAACAAGCATTACTGAGATACAGCCATCTCAGAGGTGGACTGTGGGGAGCCAACTGGTGCAGAGTATATGGCACAACAGTAGCATAAAAGAAATGTTGGCCAATGGTGCATGGGAAATCTCTGCTCTTGTGAGGAATGACAATGCATCTTTAATGATCACCCAATACAGAAACAATCCTGGTTTTTAAGGCTTTATCTAAGTAACTTGCCCACAGTAAATTGCATAAAACAATTTATTTAACCAAATGATGGAGGACTAAAGTCCCAGGATTCAAACATATGGTTCTGCAATGAGTCTAGTTTTTTTCAGACCTTAAGCATAGAGAGCACTAAGACACACCTCTGTCAGGGCATTAGCATCATGTCTTGATGATGCTTTTGCAACTTGATGATATTGTGTGGCAGTGTCACGACACAGATTTTTGCAGTTTCACATTTCAAAAGATGAAAACCATTTCTCACTATATTTAGACTGTATATTCTATTCAAAAATAAAATCTTTATCAAATCACCATCTTTGAGTCTCCCACATGCAGCAGCTCCCATCTTGCTGAAAAGTGGCTTCATTTGTTACACTACCATTCTGTGTTTGCCAGTAATCAAAGATTATAAATTTCACCTTGATAAGCAGGAATGAAATGTTTTGGCTGCTTAAAACTGGAGTAACACACTGGTCAATCAAGCCCAATGTGTGACAAACAGTTTTCAACTCTTGAACATTTGAATGCAGAAAAATATAGTGTTTAGTAATGAAATGACAGTTTTCTCCCAGCAAAAATATTTTCTTTGCTGTGTTATGTTGTATTTTTGCAACAAAAATATGTCCTCCTTATCACTGATGTAGGACCAGTGCTCCAAAAAGCATTTTAGCTCTAGTAGTATTTGTGCTGGTCCCACCAAAGTGTTTCTAACCATAGCTGATTATAACATCCTGAAATTCCAAGCGGGGCAAGACTTGTTCAGATCTTTTCGATCTGTAACATCTATCAGGTTATGGCAATAACACAGAAATAATCAGTTTCTATGACATTAATATTCTATAATAAAACCAACAAATGCAAAAGACTTTCCTGGGTATTGATTCACCACTCATTTATCTGCAATGATGAAATTGTAGCCAAAGCAGACAGCAGGTTAAGGTGCACATTAATCTTTCTATTAGCAGCTCCTTTCAGTTCAAGTATATTCTTTAATGATGTCCCATATCCCAGCTGCTATCAACTTTTTATACACATTTGTTAGGAGTATCATAGCCTGGCCAAACTGCTTTGCTGCCCAAGGCTAGTTACCTTTTTGAGTGGAATAGTCTGAATCCATTCCATGGAGTTCACATCAAAGATATCGACCGCATTTTCACTGTATACTGAGAGGTATGGTGCATTGTAACCTGAGAGGGAAGGATTGAATACACTGTCATATGCATTTAGCCAACACAGGATTCATAGCATAGAATTTCTTAAGGATAGTTTAACTGCATTCAATGAAATATACTCCAAGTATTACTGATACTTCTGAGAACACTGGGCTAGCTTCCAATTCTGGAAAAGCAGAAGCCTTCTCTATTGTTAAGGATGCAACTGACTTTCATCACAAAACTGTATTTTAGCTGCCCTATAACATGTGCTTAGAAAGTCTGATTGACCTCAAAACTGCCGTAAGATTTACTTTGAAGGCAAAGGAGAATGATTAATTTTCTTAAGACTCTGCAGAAACAAACTATTTTGAGTTATAAATCATTAAATATTATTTTGATTTGAAAAATTAATTTTTGTTTAATGTTTCTCTCTCTCTTTTTATGGAACTCTTAATTATTCATTTCCTTGCTTTTAAGAGCATAGGTTTTGTAAATGAAATGATGTGGTAGACAAGTACACAGTGACCGTTACTGGATTTTGAAACCAGGCTGTTCATTTCTGGAACTCTATACTGAGCAGCAATTAGAACCAGGAACTGAGAAGACAGTTGTCACATTTCCCCTGGTTTTGATTTTCATTTCCTATTTTCTAGATTTTAATGATTTCTAGAATTTAGTGCTGGTGAAATGTGCAAGATTGACAGCTCTAGAGAGTTAAGTCCTCCATTCATCCACAGATCAGATACAGCATAGAAGAAATAGTGCACTGCCTCTCTAGTGTGTCTCAACTTAGGCCTGGTCTACACTAGTCTGTTATTTCGGAATTAGCCAAGTTAATTCGAAAAAAAAAAAAGATTCCGTCCACATGACCAAACGGGCTTTTTCGATTTAAAGGGCTCTTTAATCCGATTTCTGTACTCCACCTCGGCAAGTGGAGTAACGCTTAAATCGAGATCGCAATCCCAGGTTAAAGGTATTGTGGACACAATTTGACGTTCTTGGCCTCCAGGAGCTATCCCAGAATGCTCCCTTGTGACCGCTCTGGACAACACACTCAACTCCGATGCACTAGCCAGGTGGGCAGGAAAAGCCTCGGGAACTTTTGAATTTCATTTCCTGTTTGGTCACCATCAGCACAGGTGACCGTCAGCACAGTGCACCATCACAGGTGACCATGCAGAGTCCACCATCACAAGAGATCATGCAGTCCCGGATTCGCAGACGAGCTCCAGCATGGTCCGAACTGGAGGTACTGGATCTCATCGCATGTTGGGGAGACGAGTCTGTTATGGCAGAGCTACGTTCCAAAAAAAGGAATGCAAATACGTACGCTAAAGTCTTCAGGGCCATGACGGAAAGAGGCTACTCCAGGGACACAGAGCAGTGTCGTACAAAAATCAAGGCGCTCAGGCAAGCATACCAAAAAGCCAGGGAGGCAAACGGGCGCTCTGGGTCACAGCCCCATACATTCTGCTTCTACCGTGAGCTCCATGCAATTATGGGGGGGGTGACGCCACCACTACCCCACCACTGTCCGTGGACACCTGCAAGGGGGGAGTTGCACGGAGCGAGGAGGAAGAGTCATTGGAGGATGAAGAGGACAGTGCATAGGCGGCAAGTGGGGAATCTGTTTTCCCCCCTAGCCAGGAATTATGCTTAACGCTGAAGCCAATAGCCTCCCCCCACTCCCAATGCGGGCTCCCAGACCATGATCCTGGAGAAGGTACTTCTGGTGAGTAAGAGCCTGATCGGAGCCACGCGGTGGGGGGCGGTGGGGAAACCCAGCCACGCGTATAGTTTAAAGGGCTCATCCCTGCTCAGAGCCTCATCGGAGCCACGCGGTGGATGCGGGGGGGGAGGTTGGGTGTTGTGTGAAGTGATCATCCCAGAGAGCCTGCAGGCTCTCCTTTATGGCAAACCCACCAGGCATTGTTTGCTGTGGGAAAGGGGTCCCAGCAGTTTGAAAACATTGAAATGAATGTAGAAGAAGCAGAACCCCGCGTGCCCCTAGGCTGCCTGCAAGCTGAATTCTGTTGCCCGGCTGTGTGTGATGGCTTACTCATACCAAAGTGTCCCCTTTGTTCTCCGAAATGTATATTTTAAAATACTACAGTCCCTTTTTCTCCTCCCACAGGTGCAAATGTTTCAACGGGGCCCCTATCTACTCCATCCCAGAGGCTGGTCCAGATTAGAAGGTGGAAAAAACGAACTCGGGAAGACATGTTCGCTGAGCTCATGCAGTCCTCCCGTACTGATAAGGCCCAGCTGAATGCGTGGAGGCAAACAATTGCGGAGTCCCGTAAAGCATTACAGGAACACGAAGAGAGGAGGGACGCGCGCGATGAGAGCAGGTAGGACGCTATGATCAAGCTCATGGGGGAGCAAACTGACATGCTCCGCTGTATGGTGGATCTAATGCGGGAAAGGCAGCAAGACCACAGACTGCCGCTGCAGCCCCTGTATAACCGCCCTCCCTCCTCCCCAAGTTCCATAGCCTCCTCACCCAGACGCCTAAGAACACGAGGGGGGACGATACAGGGACCCACACACTCAACCCCAGAGGATCGCCCAAGCAGCAGAAAGCTGGCATATGTGAACTTTTGATTTGGTTTCTCGACTTGTCCTTCCCTCCTCCTCCACCCCACTAACCCAACCCCCCCCCTCCAGTCTGCCTTCTGATTTCTCTCAATGTGTTGTGCAACAAATAATAAAGAACAGTTTTTAAACAATTTAGACTTTATTTCCTTTCATATATATATAGGGGGCGGGTAACTTCAAGAGAAACAAACACAACTGTCACACCCTGGCCAGTCATGAAACTGGCTTTCAAAGCTTCTCTGATGCGCAGCGCGCCCTGCTGTGCTCTTCTAATCGCTCCGTTGTCTGGCTGTGCGAAATTGGCTGCCAGGCGAGTTGCCTCAACCTCCCACCCTGCCATAAACGTCTCCACAGATATTGTGGAGCACACAACAAGCAGCAATTACAATTGGAATATTGGTTGTGCTGAGATCTAACCGAGTCAGTAAACTGCACCAGCGCACTTTCAAACGACCAAGAGCACATTCTACCACCATCTGCACTTGCTCAGCCTATAGTTGAACTGCTCCTTACTACTGTCCAGGGTGCCTGTGTACGGCTTCATGAGCCATGGCATTAAGGAGTAGGCTGGGTCCCCAAGGATAACTATAGGTATTTCAACTTCCCCAACAGTAATTTTCTGGTCTGGGAAGTAAGTCCCTTCCTGCAGCAGTTCAAACAGAGCAGAGTTCCTGAAGATGCGAGCGTCATGCACCTTTCCTGGCCATCCCACGTTGATGTAGGTGAAACGTCCCTTGTGATCCACCAGTGCTTGAGGACCATGGAAAAGTACCCCTTGCGGTTTATGTACTGGCCGCCCTGGTGTGCTGGGGCCAAGATAGGGATATGCGTTCCGTCTAGCGCCCTGCCACAGTTAGGGAACCCAGCACATTAAAGCCATCCACAATGGTCTGCACAGTTCCCAGAGTCACTATCCTTGATAGCTGCTGGTCAATGATTGCGTTGGCTACTTGCAGCACTGCAGCCCCCACAGTAGATTTGCCCACTCCAAACTGATTCCCGACTGACTGGTAGCTGTCGGGCGTTGCAAGCTTCCACAGTGCTATGCCACTCGCTTCTCAACTGTGAGGGCTGCTCTCATTTGGTGTCTCTGCGCTTCAGGGCAGGGGACAGCAAGTCACAAAGTTCCATGAAAGTGGCCCTACGCATACGAAAGTTTCGCAGCCACTGGGAATCATCCCAGACCTGCAATACTATGCGGTCCCACCAGTCTGTGCTTGTTTCCTGGGCCCAGAATCGGCGTTCCACGACATGAACCTGGCCCAATGCCACCATGATCTCCCAATCGCCACATGCCGTGCTTCTAGGAACGTCTGTGTCCATGTCCTCATCAGTATAGTAATTGCGTTATCGTCGCTTCCTCGCCCCGTTTTGCAGGTACTACACATACTGCTGGTTAATGCGTGAGGTATTTACAATGGTAAAAACTGCAGTGGAGATCTGAGCGGGCTCCATGCTTGCCACACTATGGCGCCTGCACGGGTAATCCTGGTAAAAGGGCGCGAAACGAGCTGTTCGGTTCAAGATGGCCGATAAAAGGCAGTTGTCTTCTGTAGCTTTCATGGAGTCAGGAAGCTCGTTAGAGCTGCAAGAGCGGGAGAGCAGAGTTTGTGGCGGAAGCTGTGTGGCTCTGTTCACGATGGCCGAAAAATGGTGGGGAATTGTTGCCTTCTGTAGCTTCCACGGGAGCCCATGAGCGACAACCTGGAAAAAGCGGCAGAAGCTGTGCGGCTCAGTTCAAGGTAGCCGAAAAAAGGCGGGAAATGGTTAGATGAAAGAGTAGAGAGAAAGATGAGAGGACATGCGAGGTGGATTCACAGTACCAGGAGACAGGCGGTGGACCACGCTGCACCGTCTGCTGGTAGTATGGCGTCTGCCGTAGCTTTCACGGAGGAAGGAGCGAGTGACGGCACACACCCAGAAACCCGTGAGAATGTTTTTGCCCCATCATGCACTGGGAGCTTAACCCACAATTCCAGTGGGCAGCAGAGACTGTGGGAATTGTGGGATAGCTTCCCACAGTGCACCGCTCCGACATTCGATGCTAGCCTCGGTACTGTGGACGCACTCCGCTGAATTCACAAGCTTTAGTGGGGACACACAACACCGAATGTATAAAATCGCTTCCGAAAATTCGAATAAAATAAGTTTGAATTAATTTCGTACTGTTGACGTACCCTTAGTTTTGCTGGGACTAAATCTAATGGTGATCCATATCAACAAGATTTGGCCTTTCTGCTGAATTTACTATTGAAGGTTTCAATTTGTGATGATTGTGATAGTGGTTTCTGAGACTGGATGTACATTCATTAGGAATTGGAATTAGAACATCAACTTGCTTCACATAGGCAACCAAAAAGTCTTAAAAATAGTAATGACCAGGTTGGGTAGTCTTTGAACTAGTGGTCTATTAGTGAAAATCTCAATCCTTTGCATAGGCAGTGCACATTTCTCCTTGTTTTGACACATTCATTTTTAAGGCCACCATCCTTTTGAATGAGAAATAGCTGACAAGTTTCCCTTTGGATCCTATCAATGCTTCTCCTTCAACAGCCAAAAAGGGCTACACTCATGCAATGTGAAACCCTCCTTCTTTCTCGGAGGCTGAGTATGCTGCTTTCACAGCAAAGAAAGAATTTCAATTATATATATATATATAAAAACCCAACAAAATCCAATTGGAAATATAATACCAGGCTTATTAACTGGAAAATGTTAGGACGTCTGTATATTTTAAACTAATTTTAAAATGAATTCAGACAGTCTTTTAAAAGGCATACGAAAAGTATGATAGGGTTTTATTTTGTTTTTTTTACTCTTGTAGACTGAAAGTCATGTCCTTGAAAAATGTCCAATAAATATTTAAGAGAGAACTTATTGGAATATGAAATCTTGGCATGTTTTGATAAGGAAGATGATTTTTTCTTAAACTCATGGCATGTATGGTCAATACCACCTGTTTGCCAGAATTCTTTTCTTTTCTTTTTTTTTTTGGAGGGAGAAGGGGAAGAGAAGAGGAGTTGGGTGGGGAGAAAGAGGAGAAAATGGAGATGATGGAGGAAAGGAGTGAAAAGCAGCAACAATATTAGAGACAGGTATAAACCAAACAACCAGAACTGAATGGCCCTGACAGCTCCAGATGTTGACCAAAATGTTCACTTTTGGAGGCCTAAATTTAGGCTCCTAAATAAAAGTGACATTTTTTAGAAGTGTTGAATGCACGAAAAGCCCATGAACCTCAGAAGGAGTAGACAGCTCTCAAATACTCTGAATATTAGGCTACTTATTTAGATGATTTTAGGTATTCAAGTTTGAAAATCCTGAGTCTCTATTGTTCTCTCATTAACAGCAGCATAAGTCAGTTATACAAGTGTAAAACTAGGCCCTCTGAATAGATTTTGAGACTCAGGCACAATTTTAGGTAATACATTCATAAAGTGTCCCCCTGCGAGTGCACCTGGGACACTGCGCATGCAGTTCAAATACAAACGGTAGTAACTGATAATTGTATACACACACAAACATGACATTAATACACAGAGACACTTACAGCAAGAGGATGGTGTTGCAGGCCACATCAATTCCTGTTGTCTAGATCTTCGGCCCTGACAGTCAACATAAACCCCAACGCTGCTAAAACACAGCAGATATTCTTTATTTGAGATTTCGACTGCGCAGATGGCATCAGTTGGCTGCTGTGCAATAAATGATAGGGTGTGGTCATCTGGGTGGAGCAAACTGTATGGGTTCCCTTCTCCATGCATGGGATATTTTAGGAATCCTGACTGGTAACCCACACAGAGCCGCTCACTGAAGACCGACATCCACTGGACATTTCCCAGGACTTGGATCTCCTTCATCTTTTTGTGACGCGTCTTGCTCTGATTCAGTTCATAACACAGGACCTGTCTTTTCATAGCCACACATAGGCAAGTAAGGGCTCCATGGCGTACCTGTCCAGAAACTATGGTCTGGCAGCCTTTTGTCTCCGCCAGCTTATAAAACTCCGTCTCTCTTCCATCCAGGGCTGCCATAGGGAAAAGCCGTACATGACGGTTTCGTCCTGAGATCACTGCAATGAGCTGTTCATTAGGGATGAGCTCAATCTGATGAACTTTCTTATTGTCACCAACACGAATAATCTCTACAAAACAAAAACCTGAAGTAAACCTATCTTAAAATGCATTCTGGTTAAAAAAATTATTTCAAAAGTGGTTAATTTAAAGGGGAATAGCAAAGAAAACCCTTTACTGCTTCTTTCTTAGGACATATAAACACTGTCTCAAAATTACAACACAAATAAGACCATTTTTCCACTTGTTTTTATATTAGAAATACTAGGTCCTGATTTTCCCCTTCCTCTGCTTGAGGACCTGAGTAGTGATCTCAGTCAAATATGCTGCTCTTCCTCTCAACAGCTATGTGAGGGAGAAGTGGATTTTTCTTGCAAATCGATGAAAGCAAATTCCATGTGAAAACCGTTAATTTAAAGAGTGCCTATAGTCAGAAAAGTGACTACGTAAAAAATATTTACTCAACAAGCAGATCTGCACCATTGTGGTGGGTTTACTTACTTTACAGAATTTACAAATTTTTATTTCTGTTATATCTGCAAAGACCATTCTGCTTAATGCAACAAAATCTTGCAAATAGAGCAAAAAAGCTACATTTCAATAGCAGAATCTTTATTACCGGCAATGATGCCAGAGGCAGAAACAACACAGAACAGCTTGGTTATCAGCTCCCATGTGGAAGCTACACAGTTGGCAGTTATTAAAATCAACTTTGGAACTGTAAACTTAGAAAACTGGAACTAGAAGATATTGAAAGAGAACAAAGTTTAGAGTCATTTTTCTGACTATTCAAACTGAACATTAGTATAATTAGTACAATTCATTATATCTTACCATCTTTGGTGACATGCACAACAAACAACCCTTCTTCATTGCCCAGAGCTATTCTTTCATGATCTACGATAGTAAAAAAAAAAAAAAAACAAATAAAAAAAGATGAGGCATTTCTCTTTGGTCACTTATAGAAAATCATAACATTCTAGGACTAGAAGGGACCCCAAGAAATCATCTCGTCCAGTCCCCTGCACTGGGGCAGAACTAAGTATTATCTAGTATTAGCTGACAGGTGTTGGTCTAACCTGTTTTTAAAAACCTCCAGTGTTGGAGATTCCACAACCTCCCTAGGTAATTTGTTCCAGTGCTTAACCACCCTTATAGTTAGGAAGTTTTTCCTGATATCTAACCTAAATCTCCCTTGCTGCAATTTAAGCCCATTGCTTCTTGTCCTATCCTATGGATAAGGAAAACACCTCCCTCTTTATAACAACCGTTTACGTATTTGAAGACTGTGATCATGTTCCCCCTCAGTCTGCTTTTCTCCAGACTAAACAAATTATTTTTTCAACTTTTCCTTGTAGGTCATGTTTTCTAGACCTTTAATATTTTTTGTTGTTCTCCTCTTAGACTTTCTCTAATTTGTCCACATCTTTCCCAAAGGGTGGTGTCCAGAACTGGACACAGTACTCCAGCTGGGGCCTTATCAATGCTGAGTAGAGCGGAAGAATTACTTCTTGTGTCTTGCTAACAACACTTCTGCTATTACAGCCTGCTAATACTTTTTTTTGCAACAGTTTTACATTGTTACATTGTTTTCTCATATTTAATTTGCAGTTCTCCTTCCTAGGCAGTCATTTTCCATTTTGTATTTGTGCAACTGATTATTCCTTCTTAGGTGTAGTACTTTGCATTTGGCCTTATTAATTGCATCCTATTTATTTCATACCATTTCTCTAGTTTGTCAAGATAATTTTGAATTCTAATCCTGTCTTCCAAAACCAAAACAATTATATGAAGATAAAAAGGGAGGCTACCAATGCATTTTATTTCTTTCATAGTAAAGCTGAAAGAAATATGACAGCCTTTTTCTATTTCTCATGCTAGTAGATATGTCACTATGTAACATTATACATAACTGCTCAGAGCACTTAAGCACAGTACTGACTTTGTAGTAAACAAATAAAACGTCAAATTTCCATAATCAAACTACAGATGCTGTGCATTAGCATGTAATAGATCCAGACTGAGTCTCTGTCCTAGATTCTTACTTACAGAGGACAGGAGTGCTAATGGAAGCTGTATCTTCAGTCCTGAGATGATAAAGTGGTGAAGGAAGTTCTGTATTACTTACTCTGTAGTGCTACTTTTGGCTAGTTAAGGAGCTGTGTTCACAGAATACAATGTAAATCGTGCCCACTCCTTAGCCACAAGGATGTTAGTTATGAAATAGGGTGGGGGGAATGCTCTTAAGGAAATTCCCAGAAACACTGAACATCCTACCACACTTCCCCATAGCACCATCCATATTGCCATATGGCATAAAATGCTCAACAAAATGTTATTCAGTAGCCAATAGAGAGGGTTATTTACCTCATTGTTTGGGTAATTCTTCTATCTAAACTATATTTCACGCTGATGTTTAACCCAAGATTACTTTTGTGCTGAATTGCATACATTAGGGTCCAGAGTCTGAGCAGGCCCCCTGAAGGGCCAAATCCTAATGTTCTAACCCACTTTTCCTTAGTCCGCTTTACTCTGGAAAATTCCCATTTGTTTCATTTCGCTGGAAATTTGCCTGAGTAAAAACTGAGTAAGGGAGTCTCACGATTTAGCTTCAATTGCACGGATGGGATTTACAAGCACCACTATTTTGAATGTGAAAAAAATTATTTGCACATGTGGCTTTTGCTCATGCAAATACTTATTTTGCATGTGCAAAACCAAGTTAATAAATGTTGAGGGGCACAATTAATAATAAACACAATAAATGGGAATTAATTATTTGGACCTAGAATCTAAAATTTTATTGACATTTCTGTTTAAGTAAAGTGTATGAACATCTATCTTGGAATAGCAGAAGTCATAGACAGAAGCTTTATTTTTCTTAAATTTTCAGAGGGTGGGAGAAAACAAAGGCACTGAATTTATCTGTCTTTTGCTTATAGTGAGCCAATCTCTCTCTATATAGATTGTTATAGGTAGGATCTGAACTCAGCCCTCCAGGGAAGAATGCAACCTTAACACAGCACCTTAAACCCTTTGGCTCCCCTAATTTACAAATCAGCTTGCTCTACATTTTAAAAAAAGATCTAGATGCAAATTTATGGCTCATCATAATTTCCTTTGTCGCACTGCCTAGGAAGAAAGGAGAGTGCAGAAAATGTTAATATCGTAACTGTGTCCAGTAACACCTAAGAAGTGTTTATGGCAGATTATCAACTTCATACCTATGATTGCTGCTGACTGGGTTGTTTTGATGAGAGGGAGGGTGCTGTCATAAGCCTCTTTGGGAACATAGACTGATCGGTCTTTGAGCTTATTCTTCTTCAAAATCCTATGCAATTCATTCAGCACTCCTACCCACTTGCTCTTTTCATTCTCACTGTCTGCTAGAATCAGGATCGAACACTTATTACTGGATGCGGAGAGCTGGGAAGCTGTAACCTGAAAAAGTTTTAAATGGATATGCTTAAGAAAGAAAGGAAAAGAGGCTTCAGCATTAGTTATTGAAACACAAGTCCATGGCTATCAATATCCTTTTCATTAGATGCTGACTTGAGCTGTATTCAATCAACTGAAGAACTGGGTTTCTGCATCAGAAATCCATGCAAAAATAATCTAGTGAAGGTGATTGAACCAAGTGGATTTGTTGTTAGTGATATAATTCAGAGATTTCCACTTTAAATTATTTAGGGTGTGTATGTCTTAAGGCAGTTTTATAAATGAAAAACATGCTTACCAAGCATTTCTGAAAGACTATTCTGTACTTGGTACACACATACAATTCTTGTTAACATTAATGTAATGGGAACTATGCATGAGCAACCCAGACCAGTGAAACTTTTCAAATAGCTGGACCACTTGATTACATGTAAAAGTGAAAAACCATCTCTGACTTGAAACCGCACTCAGTATCAAACTCAACCTTTTTAAGAATTTAACTTATTTAATGCCAGTGGCTGTTAATCCAGCAGTCTAATTCTAAATTATATTCAAATATTCACTATTATTTGGGTTTTTTCCCCCTGCTTTGACGTGCTTTCTATAACTGTTTTCCTTTAGAACAAATCTTAGTGTCACTCACTAGACTGAATGAGAGAAAGTTCTGGAAGATCTTTTCTAAAAAGTATTTTATGATTCACTCTACCTAAATTACTAAAAAGTCAAGCGTGAGAATATCACTCAGCTCATAGAAGTATGGAGTTGCTAGTTTATTTCAAGAGATTGTGACTTGAAGAGACATTGGGGAAGACAAAAGTGTGAGAGGAGAGATCTCAGATAAGCAAAGTATCTTGTATTTCTTTTTTATTTATTTCTGACTGGGGTAGGGTCAGCTGAAGACTTGCATTTGACATGCTCAGTTTTAATTGGGGTGTTTGTAATGGGTTTAGAGTAGCAGTTGTTGATGTTACTTTGTGAATTGCTGGAGAATAAAGTAGGAAAAGCCCTAAGCAAAAGTCTCCACAGAGAAGCATACTTTTATTTTGTGTTTTTCTCCCCCAAGGAAGTGGGTTTGTTCAGGAGACAATGCCTGTGTGTAGTCTTCTGTGATTCCTTGTGAATAACTGAATCTAACTGGGCTACAGTTTATTTTTTTACCCTAATCTAGCTCATTTTATTTATTTTTTTCTTCTATTTCCTGGTAACACTTTCTTTTTTGTATTGAATAAGAGCACAAATAAGAGTACTGAATAAAAGAATCTGAACAGCCTCAAAGAGAAATATACTTATTTCATTCCTCTAAATTCCTAGTAACTGCGAAGTTTAATCCACATGATACTCACGTAGTCATGAGAGCGTGAATGGCAAATGTGGGAAGGACCCTCTAACTTGTTATCTATCTTTACTGTGTTTTTCATGTTCTTTTTCAGTTGCTATGTACATGCTTTCTAAGAAGGACTCTCTGAAATTAGGCCAGGAACCATGACATAACAAGGGGGATACTGAACACGTGGTATTGAAAACTGAACAATAAAAAGGTACGGTTTTATTACTAGGAAGCAAGAAAAAAAAAAGGAAGGAGAGGAAAAATGCAATGCTTCTGTTAAATATAGTCTCAAAATATGGTCTGTTAAATATATTCTCAAGTGAGGGAGAAATTGGATTTTGACAAAGTCAGCCCCATGACAAAGGGTACGGAAGTAAAGCCTTATGGGACCATGGAGCACAGCACAAACCACAATGAAGGACAGAGAATGGGGCACAGAAAAAGGGCAGACAGTAATGCTGGGTTTCAGTACTTAGAAATGGAGACTGTACAGTGTTCAGTCATGACCCTGAATCTTGCACGGTTTGTTGCCTTCTGCATCCCACTGTAGGTGACATCACATCCCAGGTGGACCAGCCGCTGGTAGAAATTGAAGAGCAGCTAGTAGTCTTGGTCCATGTTGGAACCAATGACACAGGTGGAAGCAGATTGGAGCTCCTGAAATTCAGGTTTGAGGATTTAAGTAATAGGATGAAGTAACAGAATGTAAGAGAAATATTCTCTGAAATACTACCAGTGGCATGATCAAGGCCAAGTCATTCAGTGGCAGATTAGGAATCCAAACCTGTTGCTGACACTTTAGCTCTGTGAGACACTGGGGATTTTAAAATAATAAATAGAACTACACAATGGAATGGGCTACACTGGACAAAATACTGGTTGGTCCAATAAAAGATCTTACCTCACCCACCTAATCTCTTTAATATCCTGGAACTAACACAGCTACAACACTGCAAACAATGTACTGGTTGATAGGGATGTGAGTTTGGGTGAGAGTTTTAATTTGTAAAGAGATGGCTAGAGACAGAGACTAGCACAGAAAAGAGGAAGCAATTTAAATAAAACAGGAAGGATTATTAGGTAATGAAAAATATTAAAGTGAAGAAGAAGTGGGCTAAATATCCAGTCAGTCTGACGATGGCCACACTAGCAAAGGGTCAAGTTCTGCAGTCTTTTACCAACAAAAATTCTCACTAAAGTCAACAGGAGTTTTGCTCAGTGAAGGAATGCAGAATTTGGCTCAAAGTTTTAACTGCCTGTATACAATACAAATTAAAACATTATATAAAATAGAAAGAGTAAAGGAATATGCACATAGATGAGAATTCAGGACCAGGACCATGATTAAAATGGACTGAATATTAGGAGAGGCTAAATACAGAATCATAGATAGAGGGCCAACCCCCACTCAGACCATTAACTCATTTAGTCTAATCCCATGCATTTTACAGGACCACTCACTACAGTATTTCCACTAGCACTAAGGAATCTAAACCGTTTAGAATTCAAAGACTGAGTAGAAAACAGCTGGAGAGGAGTCAGGCACTCATCCAATCCTGAAGTGATCTCTGCATAGATGCAGACTTCAACAGGACTCCATATGGGTGTGGGGGTCTTACCACTGGGAGGTCACTGCAGGCTCCGGATCTAAAAAGGAAGATTATAAAGGAAAAAGGGGGCACAATCCTTATGCCCTGAAATTAAAGACAACAAAGGGAGCACACTTTTTAAGGTATGAATCAGACTTGACTTGCTTGATTAGAAGGAGCCACGAAGCTGAGGAGGTAGATGGATTCTAAAAAGTTTGGGAAAAGGCATAAGTAGCAGTAATGGGAGATTGCAGCTCCTGGTCATAGAGTGAAAAGTATACATCTAGCAAAACGTTTCTTGCCATGGCATGGGACTGCTTCCTTCCATGCTATGCAAAAGGGGAAATCAGAAAGGAAGAAATTCATTACTTGGTTTTGAATTAAAGAAAAGACTTAATTTAGTATGTGTACAGTAAATGGGACAGAATGTGAGCATTCAGTAATGATAATGTCATCTGTTAGCACTTGGAGGACCCAAAAGAAATGGAAGCGTAGATGCTGAGTTTCAGCAAGAGATGTACCTTTACATCCAAATCTGGGACGAAATTCTGGGCCCACTGAAGTCAATGGGAATTTTGCCATTGACTTCAATGGGCCCAGGATTTCACTCCTGATCTTCCCTATAGTTCTGGATCCAGTGTTGTAGTTCAGGCTTCTCTTTTGTTCCAGCACAATGAACAAAAGAAGAAGAGAAAAAGCATGGAATTAAATGGAATGGGATAATAAAACAACAATTAGGAAGTTAATAAGAGGGGAATCAGACAGGCATCAAGGATAAAACAATGCATTGTCGAAGTTTGTGGGAACCAGCCAGTAAAAAAAGGGTAAGAATATAAGAAAAAGTCAATGAAGGTAAAATCCTACTTTCAGATCTACAATCCAGATCTCGTGTGTGTATTTTGCACTCAATTCCTATCCATTGACATGAATGGGAGTTTGCAGGGATCAAGCCCATATACTCAACAGAGATATGCACATATACAATAATGTATGCATTACGGTTCAAGGAATAATATGAAATACAGATGTGGGGGAAGATTAAGGTCAGAAAATGTAACTATAGAAGATCGTTGCAGAAGTAAAGAATAACAAAAAGAAAAGACGCTTCAAGAGGATTAACAAAAATAAGAGATCAGTGAAGGGGAGACCATAGATCCTCTAAAAGGTACCAAAAGTAGTTTTACCATGAGAATGAGGTGCAAGTATATTCTTGAATCGTTACTTAGATTGTAAATCTCTTTGGGGCAGGGACCATCTTCTTCTTTTCTTTTACAGTGCTTAGCACTCTCGGGTCCTGGTCTATGTATGGCTCAGGCTCCCAGGCACTACGGCACTACAAATAATGAATAATAATTCTATGCACCACTGCTACCGTGGTGGAGCTGGATCAGTGTTAGCCATAGAGAGAAATGTTCAAAAATGAAGGGCAGTGTGTGTGGCTCAATCCCATTGCACCATGCTAACAAAGCTCCACCTAGACCAATCAGGTTTAAACATACATACTTACTCTAAAGATACAGGGAATATCTTTTCGATTTGCATGGATGACATCAGAGGCCAAGACAGAACTCACTGAGAATTCTTCATCCCTTAGAGAGACAACAAATATCATTTAGAAGGGAGTAAGAGCCTGACATTTCACTTGTGCTTGCACAGTAAAAGTAGAGCTATTATCTTAAGCACACAATAATGTAGCACCCAGACCTAATTTTTAAAATAGCTTGATTTTCCATCCGCCAGTCAGTATCAGCAGAAATAACTTACAAGTGTGTTGTAACCAATTTTTGACTACACAAATGTTCACAGAGATCAATCTACCCAGCTGTTCTGCATTAGGTTTCTACTTAGGTTAAGAAAAGCCAACAAAACCCCCAATTTCCCCCCTTCCCGTAACCCTGGACTGTTGGTGTCAGAACAAACTCTTGGGTATAGAGATATAAGAACACACTGGGTATTTGTACAGCAACGCACACACTGGGTATTTGTACAGCAGGAGAGACAAAACTTCAGCTACAGCCAGGAATCACTATCAGTTGTTATAACCACATTTGGTTAATAAGAACAACAACAAAAGGTTTATTTAGCTCCCTGGCTGAGACCCTGTGTGGGACAAATTTTTATGATGTCTTAATTAGAAGTTTTCAATAGCAATGAAGTTTACTGGAAAACAAGCTTCAGTTTAAAATATTACTCAGGGATACAGAACCTTCCTGGAGGTAACCTTCATTCCAAGGAACTCAAAGTGAAGAATTTGCTGTCTCTGGTTTTCCACAGAAAACCCCACTCAGCACTAAACAGCTTACCTCATGTCAATAACCTGACTCACTACCACGCCGGGCTGGGATGCTTTTCCTTCTGCTATATCATACAGGAAGAGTTTGAAATCACACACCACAGCCAGCGCTCTCTGCCAACCTTTCTTTACTCCAGCTGGTTTAGGAACCTATAGTCAAATAAACAGCACTGATCAGCTTTTCATTAATTTGTGTTTTCAAAAGAGCATAATGCAAGTATTGGGCCTGTCAGTGACAATGAAGAGTAGCATCAGTAATAGAAGAAGTGTACAGTGAAAGAAATGAGAGCCAGCTCAGCAGCCTGTCCAAGTGTCAGATGTGAGCGCTATACTATATTATAGAAAACCTGTAATGCCATGGGTTCTCTGTCCCTATCTCACCCTTCTACACCCATAAACTCATAACAAAGGAACAGAGGGATTGATACAAGAAGAAACAGAATCTTGTACATCTCTAGTTCACCTGCTGGAATCCTGCCCGATAGATAGTGAGGTAACGTTTGACAGCTGTTGGGTGATCTCAGTACAATGCCCACGCACCTTAGAAGAAACCACCACCACAGCTGACACTAGTCGCAATAGAAGGGCCCAAAGATTGACTGGACTTGTAGACTGAACTAGCCTCTTACTCTATAAGCAGTCCCTCCAAGACAGGTTCAAAATACATTGGCACAGCAGAATGACAGGAGCTCGGTTGCCACTACCAATGCTATAACTGTTCTGTGAATAATCAGAGGTCTTCAGTCTCCAAGGCTGTAACTTTAAAACAAAACAATATACAATAAAACAATTCAGAGCTAGACTTTAATTTCCTGACAGATCGTGACAACAGCAAAGTTAACACCAAGCTACCCATTCCAGTTTCATGATACTTACTCGGACATGACCTTCGTATGCAGTTCCTATGCCTTTCTGTGGATCTATCCCCAGAGGGCCTTTGGTCTGTTCAGGAGGGATTGGGCACACTGCTGGGGCCTTGTCTGCACAGGTCACATGGCATGAGAATCCACATACTTATCAGGGGAGAAAAAGGGTAGTTAATGTTTCATATAAAAATCTCCTCTCTTTTGTAATGTGAAAGCTGTGGTAATAATACATGGAAAGCAGATTCTCCCTCTATTGAAGTGTACTCCATTGCCAATAACTAAATTATTTCAATAAAACTTGCTATACTGAAAGAGGGGAAAGTAAAGTTACTCATAGGAGCAGTAAATACATGGCCTTGAAAAGCCAGATTCTGATACGAATTCAAACTTCTTCAAAGTTCAGAGTGCCCGGTTCCAACACTCTGCTTTGGAATATAAGGGAGAAAGAGGTGTCAGTTGTGAAGTTAGGATTGAGGCACTTGCAAACTTCAGATCTATTATTTTGGTGTAAAATTGGGGTTGAGTGTCAGCTTGCTTCTCATTTTCCCCAACGTCAGGCTGTTGTCAGCACACCTGACTACTACCATGTTTCCTTGCTGCCATTTTAAATCTAGAATAAATTACTAAACTGTCTTCAACTATCAACCATAATATTCTAAATACACTTCTACCTCGATATAACACTGTCCTCGGGAGCCAAAAAACATCTTACAGCGTTATAGGTGAAACCGTGTTATATCAAACTTGCTTTGATCCATTGGAGTGCGCAGCCCCTCCCTCCCCGGAGCGATGCTTTACCGCGTAATATCCGAATTCGTGTTATATCGGGTCGTGTTATATTGGGGTAGAGGTGTAATTCACACCATGTCATTTCCCCAGTTACACAGTTTACTGTAGAATCCTGTGTGTGAGATGCCCAGGATGCTTAGCCCCCACTGTTACAGGTTGCAAGATGAAGAACACAACACGTGAGTTAAACATTAGAATTATGGAATGCATTATTTCAACATCATAACGCTGCTTGTGTAGTTTGCATAAAGACTCTAGGCACTTCAGCTCCCATTTACTCTTGTCACACTCACCTTCACAAGTGCAGCCCTGTCTTATTAAACCAACCATCAGAGATGTGCACTGATTGCATTTTGTAGGGATATTAAAAGATTTCACTACAAACTGGTGGGCCTTAGGCTGTGAAACAAATGGACACAGATGTTACTTTCTGGTAACATTTTTCACAAAGAACAATTATTTTTTCACAGACATACCATACATAAAAGAGCATACATGTGGTCTTAAAAGCTCAGCTTATGTTTATTAAAAACAAGAGCTGTGTACATGACTCCTGGGCTGAAAATTTACCTTGCAGCCCTTATCAGGTCTTAAAACAGCTCAATTTTTATGGATTGCTGCTATCACCCTCTGTAAACTAACTATTGAAATTTGGACCATGTCCCAGCATACGAGTTTGCAGCCACTGTTGAAAGGAAGGCTGTCAAGGTCAGTAGTCTATAAATTGTCCCCTGTTGCAATAGTATCCTGCAGAAGGTTGCAGGCAAACATTTTTTTTGGGGGGGGGAAATGCTGGTCATAGAAGCTTTATGTTAAGGGAAGTGGGCCTGAGCTGGAAGAGGAAAGTTATATGTGGGTGGGTCACTATAGTTTAAAATTCGGACTTAAATACTGGAATGGGTGATATAGTTCAGTTTTACAGTGCTAGTCATGGGTGGTTTCATAACATCAATGGTAAAATATTTAAGGTAAGAGACAACATAAGGCTGATTTTGAAGGGAGTTCCCTTCTCCGGGACTCCTGGGAACATGCACTGTCTGAACCAATGTATATATTCCTTTCCTCCTCAGGGTGAACATGCTGCCACAAAGATAGCAGAGACAAATGACTGTGTCTGTGTGATGAGTCTGTTTTGATTCATAAAAGGTTCTCCATGATGCCCAGGAAGCTGCCTCACATATTTCCTAAAATATGGAGATATCCCTATCTCATAGAACTGGAAGAGACCCTGAAAAGTCATTGAGTCCAGCCCCCTGCCTTCACTAGCAGGGCCAAGTACTGATTTTGCCCCAGATCCCTAAGTGACCCACCTCAAGGACTGAACTCACAATCCTGGGTTTAGCAGGCCAATGCTCAAACCACTGAGCTATCCCTCCCTCTCCTGTAGACAGGGCCAGCTCTAGGCACCAGCAAAACAAGCTGGTGCTTGGGGCAGCACATTTTTAGGGGCGGCATGGCCGGCGCCAGAATGCCGCCCCTAAAAATGTGCCCCGGCCGCCCTAGCTCACCTCCGCTGCTGCTGCCATGGCGCGCGAAACAGCTGATTCGCGCGCCGCTACTCGCCCTCCCTCCCAGGCTCTCAAGCCTGGGAGGGAGGGGGAGCAGTGGCACGCGAATCAGCTGTTTCGCGCGCCGCGGCGGCTCGGGGGTCTCCCCCTCCCTCCCAGGCTCTCAAACCTGGGGGGGGGGGAAGATCCCGAGCGGCCGTTTCGCGCACTGCTGCTCCCCCTCCCTCCCAGACTTGAGAGCGTAGGAGGGAGGGGGAGCAGCGGCGCCCGTGCCACGGCCACTTGGAGTCTCCCCCTTCCTCCCAGGCTCTCAAACCTGGGAGGGAGGGGGAGATGCCGAGTGGCCGCGGCGCGGGCGCCGCTTCTCCCCCTCCTTCCCTCCCTCCCTCCTTCCTAGGCTTGAGAGCCTGGGGGGAGGAGGCAGGGCTGGGGATTTGGGGAAGGGGCGGAGTTGAGGCGGGGCGGGGCGGCCAAAATTGTTTTTGCCTTGGGCGGCAAAAATCCTAGAGCCGGCCCTGCCTGTAGATAGATTATTCCCACTCTGCCCATGAAGAGAGTCTCCTTTAGAGGAGTAGATTGTGGTGGGAAAGGGAACAGAACGTTTTCCTACTGTACATTTCCCAAATGCAAAATATCACCATCCATCTGTGTAATGTCTAGGTTTTGAGAAAGGGGGACCTTTGTTGAATATTTTTTGATGGCTAGGAATATTATAGTTTAGCTAGCTGTTTAAGATATTTACCAATTAAAGACTCTGACTGCATCCGTCTTTATGATACAGCCTGTTTGGTTCATATGCAGAGAGTTTTCTGACTACAGACTGAAACTGATGAGAAAATAAGTCCCATTTTAGAAAGCTTGTGGCTGAGCCTAATGTAAGATGACCCTTTAGGCAGCTCCAAGGACAGAAGACCACTTATTATTTAGTGCAATGATGAACTGCTCACAAAAACAGGCTATTTTCCAGGAAAAAAAGCTTGTTTCACAAGATTTCACAGGTTCAAAAAGGTTTTATTAAGAAACTTAAAACTGGCACTTGAATACAGGAATGAAGTAACAGTCTCCTAGCAGGAGCTCTGGTAAATCTTGTTGCTATATTGTGGTTACCTCTGTTTCCCATCTGTGTATAAAATGCTGACATAGCCACTGGAGGAAACATGCATTTCTTTTCTCTAATATTTCCATATGGGTAAACTTCTATCAACCATTTCAGAAATACAGCTAACAGAGATAGGGTAACATTTTCAAATGGGACTTAGGACCCTAAGTCATTCAGCCACTTTTGAAAATTTTACCCTGCGAGTCTTTCCTTTCAAAACTGTCCACACAAACTCTTCTACCCTTGTTTGAATACATGAAACTATTCAGCCAAGGGTGAAATTAATTCCACTGGCTGGCATAAAGTCCAAATAGAGTCTCTGTGCAAGTGGAGTGCAGGAAAGTTGGAGAACTGGAATTCATTCTCTCAATCAGAGTCAGAGTGGAGGCTGACTGTGCCACCGTGTGCTGGTTACAAAAGATACTGAGGGTCCTGTGGCACCTTTAAGACTAACAGAAGTATTGGGAGCATAAATGGGAGCATAAGCTTATGCTCCCAATACTTCTGTTAGTCTTACAGGTGCCACAGGACCCTCTGTTGCTTTTTACAGATTCAGACTAATACGGCTACCCCTCTGATAAAAGATACTGAGATTCCTGGATCTGCATAGTCAAATCCGTATCTCCTCCACTCTCAGCTTGCTCAAATAAGGAACTTCTATGTTGGGCCTACGTTGGTCAGTGAAGTCAGTTTCATAGCATGCAGGGGGTATCTAAGCACCCCTGCACAGCTGTTCAGTCAACAACCCCCCAGCACAGTCCCTATGCAGTGGTTAAGTGGTAGGGAGCTTCTTGCACTATCATTCCTTACCAGTAGTGAATTTTATCCCCAAATCTTCATCTCTCAGTCACTCCCAGCAGAAGCTGAAAGCTTCTCATGCTGAGTGCCAAAGACACAGAAAGGGAGAATCTTCCCCTCAATTCTCTCTGTCATTTATTTTCCTCCATTATCTTCTAGCTCCATAATCTCCCTCTGTTCTTTTTAAATGGCCCAACTTGGCACTTTTGCTGTGACCAGATATACAGCGCAAACGATCAACTCCATGTACTCTTGCATTAGGCAATCAACTCCAATCTTCTGCATCTTGTTGTCCAGGGATTGGGGCCTTGAGTCTCCCAAACAGCAAGGAGTTTAATTTAACACAAACCACCTAGGCAACTCTAAGAAAAAAATTCTGATAAACAAGTTTCCTGAAGCCACCGTTTAGGAATGAAATGTGTCCCCCTTCGATACAGAATTTTTGAAGCTGTGACTGAGTACCTTTGGTGCAGAGAGTCCTGATCCAATATATGCTGTCCTCATGGCTGGTGTATGAACCGAGCGTGGAGGATGATCTGTAACCTGAACACAACAACCCCACAAAAAAGTAGTGAGAGGCATCAAAGGCACATTATCAAAAGATGCTTGACTAAAACAAGAAAGGCCAAAAAAATCAACAGAAAAGCAACCAAAATGGGGGACACTGACTAATATAGGAAAAAACTCAGCAAAAATAAATCTTAAGACTCATAGCAGAAAATATCAAGAAAATGGTCTGCTATGTTAATAAAGAAAAGATTTATTCATTTAGTGTGGTTTAAAACTGCCTGGTCTGTACTGAAAGAATCAGTCCTAATTTCCAACTTTAAATTTCCCCCTTCAAAAATCTACATTCTAACAAGGAGATACAGGCCCCATTATTATAGTTATTTAATACTTTGCCCTAATATGGTCGCAAAAGTGATTCAGAATGAGTCATTAAACAAGACTACAGTATAATGTAATTTTTAGCACAGACTTTTTAAATATATACCATGACTAAAGAGGAGTTATTAAAAGAGACAGTATGCACTGAACAATTCATTCCCTGCGTACTCCCCAATCAGATGTATCCCGGTGAAATTTAACTTGCTCTAAAGTGGAAATTCCCTGCGGTGCAGAGAACTCATGTTTAAAGGCTTAAAATGGTGCATAGTCCTTGCATGGGGCCTCTGCATGTGACTGAATTTCAGCCTAAACAGAAGGACAAACTCTGTTTGCAGCAGTCACTTCTGTACAGAACAAACTCTTAGTTCGTAAGTAAAACATCAAAGCATCAGCACTGAGATTACCTCAATTGGTTCAATGTCACTAGCTGTGGAAGGAGACCTAGATCTTGAATGGAGATGAGACTTGATATCTTCATCCCGTGAAGGAGTATTAGACAATGTAAAGTTCTCAACTGAATCAATCTATGGAAACATGACAGGGAAAAACAATTTAAAAAATCACTTTTAATAATTCACTGTTCTTCTCAAACTAAGATACGGAAACAACAGAGTTCCTATGAGAGAACAATACAATTACAATGTTAAACATTTTTGTAAGGGATATGCAACTAAAAGAATTAAATTTCCTTGTATGTGAGTATTTGCAGACTTCAGCTGCACTATTCACATACTTAAAGAAAAGCATGTCCCTAAGCATTTGCAAGTTCAGGACCTTAACTAGTTCTTGATGAGGCTGACTATGCAGCCCTTTCAAAGGCCAAATTAGGATATTTTCAAACACTACTCTTTTTGGTCCTACTCCTATAATGGGATTTGCTCGTATGGGCCCTATACATTTGAAATCCAATTGACAGCAGTGGGATGCTGCACAGATACAGGGAATCCGAGTGCAGGACAGGGGCTCTAAATGGAAAGAAGAGCTGAATGCTTAAAATTGGAAAATCATCTGAAAAGGAAAATGCAACTTTTCTAAAGAAACATGTTTTAGACAAAGATGGATGAAAAGTTTGCAATAAAGTACATTCTAGAATATTTCCCTTCTGATGATTCTTCAGGTTCTAATTATTCACAGTATTTTGAAAGACAATACAACAAATTTGTCTGTTACTGTAAACGCTTCTAAATTATATGAAAAAAATCCTTTACCAAGTAAATTTAGTAACTTACTACAAAATTGCTAAATACTATGTTTAACAATCAGAGGAAAAAGACAGCGCAAACTACAAATTTCCTTTGCTAGGGAAACCACTGTTTCTACAGAAATGGCTGGTTTTTGAGGACATAGGTGTATATCATTTGAACTGCAGGAAAGTAAAGCCATCCTGAGTATAGATGCAGCTAGTGCAGGGGGGCTTTTTTATCCTTAATATTGTATGAGCTACTGACACTCAATCCTAACTGAGCTACCAAGGTTTTCTAAGGAGATGATTCTACTGCCACAGGGCACAGAGGCAAGACTATATCTCTCTATTGTGTAGTATTGGACCTTAGTCAATTTACCTGAAAATCCTGGACAGAAGCAAGTCCTCACTGAAAAACGAAGGTTACTGACCTGTACCCAGAGTTAGTCGAGATGGCACTGCATATTCACACTTACGGGTACTGCACCACCTTGAGGTCCTTGCAGTAGAACCATCTTCTAGCAGTGTCAGCTAGAGCGCTCTTGTGCCACCTAGGGTGAGGCTATGTCAGGGGCTGAGTGCCCTCCCCACCGCAGTTTCTTCCACTGCAAAGCCAGAGACCCAGAAAACAAGGACTTTGACAAAGAGGGGAAGGCAGGTGGCAAGTGTGAATATGCAGAGCCATTTCAAAGAACGCTGATTACTGGTAAGTAACCTTCATTTCTTCTTTGAGTGGCTCTGCCTATTCTCACTTATGGGACAGACTAATAAGTAGTGCTGAAACAAACCTGCAGGCAGGAACAGAGGCCTACTTGAATTGAGACTGAAGCACTGTCTTGCCGAATCCTATGTCGGCCCTAGAAACCAAGTCCAGGTCATTGTGCTTGGTGAAAGTATGCACCAAAATCCCAGGTTGCAGCTTTGTAGATTTTAACAACTGGCCCCTGCCTAAGACAGGTGAAGGACGTAGCCACAGCTCTAGTGGAATGCACTTGAACTGCAGCAGGAACGGGGACTTTTGCTTTTGTATAGCATTCAGCGGTGTATTGTTTAATCCACCGAGGAATAGTCTGGGAAGAAACCATATGTCTCATGTGGCCTTTGGCATAAGGCACAAACAATCTGAAAGATTTATGAAAACTTTTAGTCCTCTCCAGATAATAGGTATGGGCCCTTCTGGCATCCAAAGCACGTACGACAGATTCTCCTTTATTAGAGTGCGGCTTAGGGGGGAAAAACTGGCATTGTCTGACTGATGTGAAAAATCAGACACCACCTTATGTAAAAATCTAGGATCAGATCTGAGAACAACCCTGTCCTTAGGGAAACAAGTGAAGGGTGCATCAGCCACAAGGGCATTCAATTCACATACTCTTCTGACTGACATGATAGCTATAATAAAAGCTGTTATTTAAGTACTGTAAATTAAGTATTCCAGAACACGAAGCCAATATAGGAGTCAGAATCTCCCTTCATCCATGCCTGAAATCTGGACCACTTTAGTTGGTAACGGTTTCTCGTAGATTGTTTTCTAGAGTTAACTAGTATGTCCTGCACAGGTGGAGAATACGAGTGCTCAAGAGCAGACTGAGTCAAAGTCAGATCGCTCACACTATTTCACTCTGGTGAAGAGACTGTGGCTCTGGATGAAAGATCCTATGTCCTGCTGGGATAGGAGATCTGGGGATAGTGGAAGATGCATGAAAACTCAGCCACACAGTTGAGATCAGTCAACCACTGATGACATGGCCTAGCCGGGCCAATCAGTATCATCCTTGCCTTGTCCTGACATACTATCCTTACTACCTTCTGGATCAATGGAAGGTGTGTGCAGGGGGTGGGGGGAAGTGGACCTTCCCCAGTGTAGAAGGAAGGCATCTGACAAAAACTGACTGTCCTAGCATGCTCTGGAACAGAAGAGGTGACATGTTTTGTTGTCTGGTTGCAAACAGGTCTATGTCTGGTCGACCACAGCTGGAAAATAGTCTCAACCAATTGATCCTTTAGGGACCATTTGTGCACTGGGGAGTTGTCTCTGCTGAGATGATCCGCAAGTACATTGTTTTCCCCTGCTGGATGCAGAGCCACAAGATAAATGTTGTGACAAATACACAAATTTCACAGACTTATCTTTGAACACAGAAAATCAGAATGAGCACCCGCTGGCTTGTTGACGTAATTCATTGCTGACGTATTTCCTCTAACCACTTACACAACCTTCTCCTGCAGGTGATGGAGGAATGATTTGAGAGCCAGAGGAACAGCTCTTAATTCCAATACATTGATGTGCAGAGTCTTCTCCTGACCAGACCAGTACCCTCGACTGTCAGATGTCAGAGACAACTATCTCTCGGTCTCTCTTCTGGAACCAGGGCAGTGGTATCTAACCATATGGTCCTTGGTATGGCCCTGTGCAGCCTCAGAGGCTTTTCTGAGGGGGCCTCAGGAATTGGATCTGATCCCAGTCAGGGGTGCGACTTCTTGGAACACTTCAGTTCTTTGCTAGTGGGAGCAACAGGGGCTAAGACTAGCCTTTTTGACTCTGGACCGGAGGGTTACTTGGAACTACAGGGTCTGGCCTTGAGGGCTTCCTCCAGGAGAAGGAGCTGCAGGCGAGCCTCCCTATACTGTTGGGCTCTGAGAGAAGAGGCCTTCAGATTGAACAATCAGAAGGTGAATAGCCTTGTTCCAGGCACCTGAGGCACAAAGCGTGGTCGTCGGGTGCTCGGAAGACAGCTGAACAGGAAAGCCACATTTTAAAACCTGCCTTTTTCTGCTTCTTCAGTTCTGCCATAACATGGAACTGAAAAAGAATCACTAACTGATTAAACTAATAGCTAACACTATCTAAGAAGAAAGACGCTCTGGCTCTGAAGAAACCAGAGCAGGTCACATCTGTTTGTGGCATGCAGTTGGAAGGAACTGAGGTGACGAGGGTGGCCCACCCCCATACAGCCTTGCCCTCAGGGGGCATGATGCTGAGGGGTGGGGAGGCGCAAGAGCTTTATAGCTGACACTGCTAGAAAATGGTTCTACCTCAAGGCACCACAAGGTTGTGCAGTACCCTTAAGTGGGAATATGCAGAGCCACTCGAAGAACAAGATGTGTCCACTGAGTTGAACTTTCCTGTATAAATATATCTTTAAAAAGTAGACTGACTAAGTAGCTGCTTTTCTCTCTGTTAGCAACTAAACTACTATAAATAATGGGGAGACCAAGGATGTTTGCAATAGGCTAGATTGTTGATGACTGTCTTTTCTACAGAAATGTTATCAAACGTCACAATATTCCCATCTTTCCACCAAATAATGCCTTGCTAGGTCAGTTGGGACTGGCCACCCTGGTAATCAAAAAAATAACTGCCCATCAACAATATGAAAACTATAAACACCCCAGTGATGGCTTTTCTCCATTGCTATTGATGGAGTACCACAAACTACATAACCCTTCAGGAAACATGTTACATTTCCAAGCTGCCCTTCTTGAACATGCATAAATGGTCCTTTTCATCTAAAAATATATTCACAGTAGTGAACAGGTGTAATCGTAGAATTTTTTAAAAACTAGTATGAGGGACTGTTCTGGTTTGTAATTTTTACAAATGCTTCAAACTGTTCTAGAGAACTATTGGTGGAGAATGTTCTTCATCTTAAAAAAAAACCCCTCAAGATGGATAAAGGTTTCTATCAGTTATGATGCATGCATTCTCTTTCCACACTGAAAAGTAAAAATTCCTACTTACCAATATACCTGTTCGCTACATGTAGAAAATATGTTTCAAGCATTATGGCAATAATTAGCAGTAAGCAAACTTTTTTGTGCTCAGATTTACCAGGTGCAAATTATAACTCCAAATCTTCACTAATGTCAGAAACTGATGATGCCTTTAAGTAATAATATCCCCAACCATATGACAGTGGTGCTATAGGCATTTTAAATTATTTTGCAAAATGCAAATATGAAATTGCTTGGGTCTCACTCAAAATCCCTACCACTGACATTTAAGAACAAAACAAAAAACAAACAAAAAAACCAACAATTAATTGTAGGAGAAATTTCTATAGCAAGAGACAGAAATGCCATCCTTCTTGTAGTTAAATTTGGAGATCTAATCTGGAATTTCATAAATATTTCAAAATATTCAGAAAAAAAGGAATATCTGCTGGAGAGATAAGGTTATTTTGCAACCTAATATTTGCATACAGAAGAACATCTTCAAGGTACATCCTTAAAAGATAAACCATTTGCCACCAATGTAGTAGAAGTTATGAAACTTTTCTGGAAAGGTCTACATAATTTTGTATTTAGGACGTTATCTACTGTGTTAAAAGAAATGTTTATTACTGCACTTATGAAACTGAAAAATTAATTTATGGCCTGATCCAGCACTACGGAAAGTCAATTGGAGTTTTGCTATTAACTTTAATAGTGTAAACGAGGGCCTTAGTTTGTTGGATGCTGCAGTATTTCCAAAGTTTAGTTCCAAACAAAGTGGATTTAGGGCTTGTCTATCTGATGCGGCAACGCGCACAGCAGGAGGGTATATTCTAAAGCACAACAACGTATTGTGCACTAACTGGCCTGCATAGAACCTGCGGGTACAAACTAAAAGTTCCCTCCTGTGATGAAACAGTACTAAGTTAAAATACACTAGGGAACTTTTAGTGCATACCAGACGGGTCCACATGGGCCTGTTACTGCAATATAAAATTCACGCTCTTGTAGTGTATATTGCCACATCGTGTAGACAAGCTCTTAGTAATGTCTAGGTCCTAAACTGGCCGCATTAAAATTCTTCAAATTGGCCCATAAGCACTATTAACTATTAGATTATCTAAAGCATGTGTTGTATCACCCAACTGCGCAGCCCTTAATCATGCAAGCAGTCTTGATGACTTCCACAGGATTACACACATTTAAGGGTTGCAGGACTGAGCCCGCGGGCCCCAATTCTGCAAAGTATTTAAGTATGTATTTAAATCCATCCATATCCAACAAAGCACTTAAGTACATGCTGAACTGAGATGGACTTCTGAATCAGAGCCAGAGTGCTTAAATAGTAGATATTGTACACTGTAAAATACAATAATCTGTGTTTTTAACTGCAGCTAACATATTATTATTATTAAAGAGAGAAAAATCATTAGCCTAATCATTGAATATTAATATAGGTGGTTTTTCCAATATTCTGTCATATATAATCACAAAGTGGTGAGAGTTCAGGACAGACATATTCCTCTTTGTAAGGTAATGCACCTATCCCAAACACATTGTGACAATACTTTGATATGATACAATCGTGTTTGTTATATAAATGTTCAGATGTTTATAAATCCACCAAAGGCTTTAGATCGGGGCGGGCAAACTTTTTGGCCTGAGGGCCGCATCAGGTTTCCAAAATTATATAGAGGGCCGGTTAGTGGAGGCTGTGCCTTCCCAAACAGCCAGCTGTGGCCCAGCCCCATCCCCTATCCGACCCCTCCTACTTCTTGCCCCCTGATGGCCCCACTGAGACTCCTGCCCCATCCAACCCCCCCGTTCCCTGTCCCTTGACAACCCCCGGAACCCCTGTCCCTGACTGTCCCCTGCCACCCCATCCAACCCCTCCTCTCATTCCTGACTACCCCCTGGGGACCAGTGCCCCATCCAACCCCCCCCGTTCCCTGTCCCCTGACCGCCCCGGAACCCCAGCCCCTGA